AAAAATTTTTTTTTCTATGCATTTCACGATTATGAATTCATTTTTGTATTTTTTTTTTTTATTTTTAATATCAGAATTAATTTATAATATATTTAAAACTTTAAAATTATTGAATTAAATTAAAATCTTTTCTTAAAAGAAAGTAGTAATATGATAGATTATATATTAATATCTTTATTGACAGGTGTATTTGATGCCTGCCCCCCCCCCCCCGACCAGCAGCACTCGGTTCGCTCGTGCCGCAAATGTCGGGGGTAGGCATCAATTTTTTTCAACGCAATTTTTAACTTACTTTCGACCGCATAGGAAGAAAACTAGTATACACTACATGGGCAGAAATTTGAGAGCCCTGAACTGCGTGCCATGATGCCCTCGGCTTCGCCTCAGGCATATGGCGCGCAGTGCAGGAATCTCAAACTTTCTGCCCTTGTAGTGTAATATACTATTGGTGATGAAATACTAAAATGTTACCCCAAAACAGCGAATTGCCCGCAAATATGCTGCAGTAATGTGATGAAAATAAGATCGCATGAAATAAAACCAAATATTATTATAGCAACAAACGTATTAGAGATGGCCAGCATCAGCCAGTAGTAATTTTCTTTTTCGAATATTACGTATTCTAACGGAAGGGCAAATCGAAGTGGAACAGATGCATTGGATTTTGAAAAAAAGCTGTATAACCTTGGTACAATTGGTTCCATTATGAATATCGTTGCCGATGCGGATAAAAATGCTTGTTATTACTTAATTATTATTATTCAATAATATACTGTTATTTGATAACAATGCTTTTGGAATTGTTGTAGATAGAACTAAATATCCCACAAGAATAAATTTTGTCAACATTAAAAAAAAGAAAATAAAATCAATATCATAATCATGGCCAAAGATAAAAATATTTATCCGCAGCTACAACATTTTCGAAAGCTTTGATTGTTTAAAAGCACTGGTTCTCCATTTACCTGTGTACCCAGTTACCAATAACTTTCCTATTTCTGAATGATATTGTAAAATACGTTTCTCTTCATCATTAATCAGTAACTTCCAATCCCTCTGTACTCTATCGAATAAATTTCTGATCTAAAATTCCAAATTAACTATCAAGTTACAAAAATATTACATTTAGTTACATAGAAAAAAATATAAAACAGACCAATTCTGCATGATAACTCGCGTTCAAATATTTAGCGGCAAGCAGACAATCTACAGCAAATGCCGACAGAGCTTCTAACACTACTTCTCGGTCATTAGAGTGCATGACCATGGCAATAATCTGAAAAGATGGTAACACAATATTTATCTCAATGAACAAAACTGATGGTTACTTTGAATGTTGATACTTGTGGAATAGCTTGCAGGAGAAGTACAGTCCATAAGAGGGTAATTATCATTAAACTTCGCATCCGAGGCATGTACGGCCACCGACCAATCAAAGTAGTGAAATCTTTGGTTGTTTTGTAGTAAGGTTTATTAAAAATATCCATCGCGTAAATGGCAAGCACTATTATTTTTTATTAGTTAACGTGTATTACTGATCCGATTATTTTTTGAAATAATTTAATAACTAAGAGAAATATTGATTGTGTTTTCCATGACGAATGTTTCGGGAGAGGTACAAACTGCCTTTTGTTTGAAACTCGCAGTTACTTGCGTGTAAAGACTCACCCCTTCGATACTTACCTAATAAAATATTCCATCTGATGGTTTCTATGTTTGATATTTCTGTCATGCGACGTTTAATATTACATTTTGTGCAGTTATATTTCTCTAGAATGTACGGACTTTAGTAGAAATTAAAAATTTTTCAAGCAGAATATTTTATTTTGCGTGTCTTTTGATAATTTGAAAGATTTCAGTCACTCAGTTTTAACTTAACAGTCATTCTATCTCTACTATTAAGTTTATGTTCTTCACCATGAATTTATTAAATTCGACATTTTAGTTTTTAACAAAAGTTTATTCAAAATTTTCAATGTATGCGATCAACAACTGTGCATTGTAATAAATTTTTTTTTGTCTTTAAGTTGAAAAAAAGTTTTCTGTTTATTTTAGTTATACCTTAATTTTGTTCTATTTGATTATGTCTGATTGATCGCGTTAAAAAATGTGTGGCTGAGAAAAAAAAAAGAGCTTTTCTGTAACAATAACTATTTTAATTGCTTCAATCATTTCGATTGCAATGTGTTAACAATTAACAAATATTATTGACGAAATTATCTACTTATTAATATATTGTCTACTGCATCGATAACAACATTGTAAAGTACGATCCAGCCGTTTTTAACTATAAAAAAAAAATGTCAATTTTTTTTCAGTATAATTTCTTTTTAGAATTGCTCCAAATTACTAAGTTGACTTACCATCTGCAAAAAAGTAAAAATCAAAAAAATGAAACTCTTTATTGCAGATACTGAAAAAAAATTTTTTTTACCATTGCAAAGTTTTCAATAGACAATTCCATAATTTTGCCAGCCGTCAATTTGCAGGGTACTTGACTTCTCACCGTCATTAAAACCAACAATTTTTGGGATTGTATGGAATGTTTGTACCATTTTATATTAGCGCTGTGTAAGAAAGTATTTTAATTAAATAAAAGTTACTTCAGAAACTTAGAAGTAGGATCAAAAATTGTTTTATTGTTCAGTAAAGACGCGCTTACATGCTTTGAGAAATTTGTGAGCTGGAGTCATTAAGTTTTTGCGACATGTAACAGTCAAAAAATAGATGCAAAATTTGACTGCCCATAAATGTTATGCCTTTGACTATTTGTTCTACTGAGTGAGATTGTGTTATGATCTGAAAATGAAGTTCAATGATCATGTTCAAATGAATTTACTATACAACGGTACTATTGTAATTTTGTGACCATACATTAAAACCAGAGACACTCATGAGCGGTAAATTTAACCCAACCACTACACCGAAACTTAGCGCAAAACAGTTTTCAAGATGTTCTGAAAATCTTTAATGACATCTCAATTAGTAATAAGAATAATTAGTTTCCAAACTTCCCGTGAAAAAATTTTCTGATCTTAAATTTGGCAATATATCGGTAGTGTTTGAAATATCCGATAGATGACGCATGGTCGCTAAATCGTCTCTTTACAAAAGAGTGAATAACAACTCAATACAGAGATACATAAAACTATTTTTTCCAAATTCGTTATCTGCTTTTCGTTTCATCTGTTGATGAAACAATTTTTTTTTTAATATAACAATTTAACTGATGTACGTATATCTATAAAGAAACAAAAAAATTGAAAAATTCTCAAAAAAAAAAATATAAAATTTCATTTATATTAAGGGAATTTTTGTAATTTTAGTGAGAAAACTATATGGCCATATCAGAAAAGTTTTCCACGAGTAACAAAGTATCAAAAATACGCACTCCAATGCTCTAGTGTGCATTTCAATGCATGAGACCAAATATTGGTAAGAAGTATTTTGATCAGATTTTTGATAACTGATGGCTTCTTCTTTTCCATTATTTATTTCAATGTCATCAATAGGTGCGTGTTCTATCCTATATCTACAAAAAAAAGATAGTTAATTGTTATCATGTAAAAAGAAACATTTTTTGTGATAAAATACTAAAATGTCACCCTAAAACTGCAAACAATCCGCAAATATGTTGCAGCAATGTTATGAAAATCAGGTCACATGAAACGATACCAAACACAATTATAATAGCGAACAAATTAGTAATAGTCAGTATCAACCAATAATGATCCTCTTTTTCGAATATTATATACTCTAGCGGAAGAGCGAATTCATACGGAATAGATTCATTGGATTTTGAAAACAAGCTGTATATCCTTGGTAAAATTGGTTCCATAACGAATATCGTTGCCGATGTTAATAAAAATGCTTATTATTATTATTACTTAATGATTATTATTTATCGCTTTTCTCTACACTGTTCATTAAACTGCAATGCTTTCGAAACTGTTCTAGTTGAAACTCTATCAAATTCAATTTCAAACTAAAACACTTTCGAATGCTTTGATGGTTCAAAAACTTCTTTATTTACCTGTGTAAGCAGTTGCCAACAATTTTCCGACATTCGAATGATGCTGCAGAATCTTTTTTTCTTTCTCATCCTTCAGCAACCTCCAATCCACTTCCATTTTATCGAATAACTTTTTTATCTACACTTCAAAATAAATTATCAAATTTCTTGCTACAAAAAAAAAAAAAAAAAAACAAACAAAAAAAGAACGAACCAATTCAGCATGATAAGTCGCGTTTAAGTACTTAGTTGTTATCACAATATCTAATATAAATGTCGACAATGCTTCAATGATAATATCCCGGTCATCAGCGTACAAGACTATGGCAATAATCTGCAAAATTTTTATCGCAGTAAGAAAAAAACTCGATTTTATTCAAATTAAAATAATACTTGTGGAATAGCTTGAAGCACAAGAGCGATCCATAGAAGAGTAATTATTATCAAACTCTGCTTTCGAGATTGGTACGGCCACCGACCAATCAGAGTAGTGCAATTCTTGGTGGTTTTGTAGCAGGGTTGATCGAAAATATCCATCGTTTGAATCGCTATTACCTCTTATCAAAACTAAACTACCAATTCGATTAATTTCCAAATAATGTTATTGTAAAAAGAACTGTCCAGGCTATTGTTGATGAAGATGTGTCAAATGTCTTTCGTTTGAAAGCCACGAGCAATTGCGTGCATAAACTCACCCCTACAACACTTACCTTCATTATGTATTCCATTAGATGATGTCTCTGTTTGTTAATACTATCGCGCAATTCTCAGTATTATATTTTTTATGATTATAATTTTATATAATGTCACAACTTCAATGTGAATTCATTATTTTTCAAGTAGAATATTTAATTTTGCGTGTCTTTTGAGAAAGTTCTACTTCTTGAGAAGATTTTACTCACTTAAAAACAGCTGGACAGTTTTTTTTGTTATTACATTTCAATTTTGTGAGTTTGATAGTTTGCTTTTAAATAATAACTTATTTTTTATATTAATTGAGGAGTTGAGTTCCAAAAAGGTATCTTTTCATAAACTGGTTATATCTTTAATTATAAATATTTTTATTGAACTTTTTTAATTTACCTATAAAGTGCTATCGGTTATAAAGCTACAATTAAATTTTCATTAAGAAATCTTTATAATTTTTGAAGTAATTAATATTTAAAAGTTCAAAAAACTGCTCTTTTAAAATATGAAAAGAAACCCTTTTGAAAATCAGCTGCTCAATTATTTTTATTATTAAATTATTTACCACAGAAAAGAAGAAGTAAAATTTGGAACTGTTAAAAAATAAATTGCTTTTTGAAAAAAAAACCTTTTGTGTGAAATTTAATTGCCTATATTTGAAGCTGCACTTATCTTTATTTTTAAACTTTTAATGTGAGTTACAAAATTTATTGTAAAAAAATAATGTTTTTTTGTGTTATTAAAAATAGTACTTTTAATTATTTCTCAATTTCTTTTTTTTTTTGGCGTCAATTAATATTATTTATGTTTGCAAAATAATTCATCGCATCGATGACAAAACAGTGAAGAAAGACATGGCGTTTTTGAGTACCTTAAAAAAGAGTTAAGTTTCTAAAAAGTCAGCTTGATTTTTCGCTTGAGGAATAAACTTACAATACTGAAGGTGTCCATCAATAAGATGTACAATTTTCCAGCACTCACGGTGAAAGGTTTGATACTTTTCAGCAGAATTATATTCAGAAGTTTCTGATGGTAATTGTTGGGAGGTTATACCAATCGCATGTGTAACTAAAAATATTTACATTTATATTTCAAATTTTGAATAATTAAAAATAAGGAATGATTATTTTTTTATTGTAAAATTACTAACACAGAGTAGAATACTTTTTCACTTTGCGTGATTAGGATTTGTCCTTGAAAACTGCTGTAGAAAAGATGGAAAATGGAGCCCATTGTGAAGGCACCGTAGTTGAGAGCCTCGTTTGTTTGGTCCAATTTTATGACCGTCTGATATTTTTTGAAATTCTCTTTCATGATTTTTGTAAACTTGAAAAGGAAGTTCAAAAAATACTTACCGTCATACCAGTTACTGTAAGGACTAATAAGCTCAAGCCGAGGACTATGAAATATGCTATGTGTATAGATGAGTCCAGTTGTAAAGCAAATCTTAGTTAAAAAAAAAATCATAAGAATTTTTTTTTCAAATTTTGTCAAAAAAATTTTTAAATTTGAACCAACCCGTGTTAAAAACAATCGTCTTAAAAAAGTCGTTTGTTTAACATGATAAGTCTTTAAATTGTTGGATAATAATTTTTTAACAATTTCAAATTCAATTTAAAAAGACCGGACTCAAAAATATTGCAGTTAAAAACTCGCAAAATCGTCTGAAAATTAATTTTCATAACAAATTTGAGAACCAAATTTCAAAAATCTGCTCTCGGAATTTTATTTTGGCGCTTTAAAAAAGTCTTGGTTTGTGTCACGTTTAAAATCTTAAAAAAATGACTTTTTTAAGACGATTTTTTTTTAAACGGAAATAATCTTCTAAAATTGACCAAATTTTTCAAAACTACTTTTTTCATGATCATTATTGCAACAGAGACCAAATTCAATTATTTTTTCTCAAATTTTGTCTAAAGCATCATTTCTAAAACTTTCCAAAAAAAATTTTTTTTTCCAATATTTTCTTCATTTTTGGAACAACAATTACTTACTCCATGCTATGTTGATGCATATGGACACAATGAACAATTTTCTGCCGCATAATATCCAATTCTTCTTTCCCATGATTTTTTTTTTGCATGGCTACCTGCATTAACTCTTTGCAAATAAAGACTGAAAAGTTCACAAAATTAAAATTTAATCATTACCTAAAGATAAATTTATAAAAACCTCAAAATTTCCAGCATTGCGCACTCATGGTGTATAAACGTCCCGAGCATGTTGTCAAAAAAAACAATTCCACCCACAGAAATTGGCACCGACAGGTAGTAGTGCAAAAGAATAGGCAGATAATATTCCCTTTGATCCACAAAATATTCAGTTTCATACAAATAAATCAGATCTCTAGTTCCATTCAGCGGCTTGATAAAGTCCAAAATTTTGGGCAAAGCCGGCGATGCCAAAAACAGTCCTAGTATTGGAAACATGGCAGCTATGCCAAACCTTCATCAATATCTTCATCGACGAAATAGAATTAACGAAACAAAATCGTTGCTTTGTTTCGTTAGTGAAAAAAAATTTGAAAAATGGTTCATGAGGATCAAATTGATGTTCATTGTAATTAATGCAGTAAATTGATACCTGTGTAAGCGGATGTCAGTTTCCGAGTACGTATGAGCCATCTCTGCATTATTTCTTTGTCTTCTTCAGATTTCAAAGTTTTTCCGTCACGCTCCATCAGCACAAACAATCTTTTTATCTGAAAGTTTGGAATTGTCAAAATTTTTTTCTTTTGAAAATCATTTTAAGACACTCACAGCATTGGCGTTGAACATCCAATTGGCAAATTTTACCAGGCCTAGCAAATGCACACAAATCATCGGTATACACTGAATCATGTTGTCCAAATCGCCCAAATATTCGATAAATTTGATTGTCTATTCAAAAGAAACAATTTAATCATACAAAAAGTTTATTTTGGGTTGTAATTTTTTGGAAAATACCTTCGGCGTCAAAATATTGAATATACCAATCGTTGCGACACATCTCAGCAAGTACTTTTGATAACGTGGCTGGTAGGGACATACTCCGTAACACGACATAAGAAATTTGTAATTTTTGAAGTGCTGATCTTCCAAAATATCCATAACTACTTTGTTATATTGCGAGGAACGTTAACATAGTTTTCAAATTCAAAACAATTGTTGTGAAGAAAGTATGATGTGTTACTGATTGAAGCGATTGGTGTTTTCATGACGAGTCTTTAGAATCATTAAATATTCCAATGGAACTTCGTGCTACCAGAAATCGCTTGAATTCTTAATGATTTTATAAATGATGCTTTTGGTTAGCGAAAATACTCGGAAGTCTTGTTTTTAATCTCAATTGGACTTATAAATCAAAAGACATGCATCCTTTTAAACTGCTACATTGTATTTTTGTACTGAGTTTAATTGTAACTGTTAGTCTTTCAATTTTACCTTCTCAAAATTTACTGCTTATTATTTTACAGTTCAAAATTTTGTTTTTTTATAAAAATTTATTAAAATATGCGAGGTAAGTGTCGGTTCATTTTTATTTACATAACAATTATATAACAAAAAATAAATAACAGTATTATATAAAAATAAAATATTTTTGATACAATTGATAAAAAATCAATTTTTGATCATCGCCGTCGTCAATTTTGGTATGTTTCTCCTATTTTGAAGCAAATTTTACACGTCTTTTAGCGCACAGATGATAACAAAGTGAAGAAAGACATCGCATTTTTCAGTACCTTTAATAACAAACAAAAATTTACAAAAAATTGATAAAAAAAAAAGTGACTCCAACAATACTACTTACGATGCTGAACGTATCCATGGATAAAATGTACAATTTTCCCGCAGTGATTACGGCCGGAGAGTGGCTTCTTGTTATCATTGTACTAAGAAGTCTCTGATGATAGCAAGGTAGAGTGTACCATTGAGATGTGTATCTAAAAATGTACTTATTTCAAGAAGTAACTTACAATTTTTGGCCTAAATTGTAATTTTGAAAAATTATTGAACGCTTACATGGAGTAAAAAATTTTTTCACTTTGTGTAATCAGGATTTGTCCTTGGAAACTGTTATAAAATAAATGAAAAAGGGCACCCATTGTGAATGCGCTGAATTTTATTGCTTCGTCAGGTTGATCTATTTTTATAACTGTCTAGATAACCAAATTATTATTTAAACGTTTCAAATTTTACAATTGAAAAATTTTCTGTTGAAATTTTCAGGTTTTTTTCAAAGTAATCACATTAAAAAAATTATAATTAAATTTTGTTAAAAATAATTTTCATCTATTTTATGAATTAGTGTTTAAAATCAATTTTAAAATTATTTTTGTGATAAATTTTAAGGCGTAAAAAATTGAACATCAATTAATTTGATTTATAACTTACCGTCATACCTGTAACAGTAAGTATCAATAAATTGAACCCTAATACAATGAGCCATGCAATGTTTATTGACGATTCTAGCTCTGTAGTAAACCTTAAAAAAAAAAAAAATAAAATAAAAATTTGTAAATAGTAATTTTTGAAAAATATCTCACTCCAAACTATTTTGGTGCATATGAACACAGCGAATAATATTTTTCCGTATTCTATCCAGCCTTACAGGATCATCAATTCTCTTAATTTTATCATCTAAATGTATCCTTTGTAAATAATTGCTGAAAAAGTTCAAAAACTTCAGCAATTTATTCCCTATTAGTTAAAATTTGATTTATACAATCCAAACCTGAGAATTTCCAACATTGCGCACGCGTGATGAATGAAGGTCCCCAGCATGTTGTCAAAAAAAACAATGCTGCCAACTGACAAGGGAACGGTCATGTAAGTGTGAATGAGAATCGGCACATAATACTCGTCTTGGTCCACAAAATACTCGGTTTCGTACAAATAAATCAGAGCGCGAGTTTCGTTCAATGGTTTGATGAAATCCAAAACTTTAGGAATGGCCGGCGACGCCAAAAACAGACCCAGGATTGGAAACATGGCCGCTATCGGGTACATACATTCTCAAATCTTGGCACAATCAAGCGAACTCAAAGTAAAATCATTTTTTTGGATTGAAATAATATTTCTGAAAAAGTACCTGTATAAGCGGTTGTAATTTTTCTTACGCGAGCCAGCCATCTTTCCATTATTTGCTTGTCCTCTTCGTTCTTCAAAGCTTCTCCGTCGCGTTCGATCAACGAAAACAAGCGTCTGATCTAAAAAATTGATTTTTTTTTTTCAAAAATTTTATCATTAATCAAAAATTCAAAAAAATTGGATCGAACTAACTGATTTGTAATTGAAAGTATAATTGTAATATTTGACAAGTCCCAATAAGTGAACACCAATCATGGGAATACATTGAATCATCCCGTCGATGTTTCCAAAATATTCAATAAACCGAATCGTCTGTCCAAAAAATTAATTAGTGAGTATATTTCTTTTATTGACAACAAATTTTGAACAATTAGCGACTGATGTTTTACTTTAGGCGTCAAAATACTCAAAACACCCATTGTGATGAGAAACCTCAGGCAGTTTTTTTGGAAACGCGGCTGATATGGCCACTGTCCGTAACAGGTGAATATAAACTTGTAGTTTGTAAAATGACGATTCTGTAAGATATCCATTGTTGCAATTGAAATGTCAACGATAGCATGACACTAACAATGGGTAACTTGATTTAAAATTCAGTTTGAACTTATTGACGTCCATATTGCCCATGCTTGTTCCAAGTACCGTTTAAATTTTTAATACTGCAGCTGTCGTTAACTAGAAATTTATGGACGTTTCGTGATTGACATCAAAAGGATTGCTAATCAAAAGACATGCAATGGTTAACTAGCAGGTTCTTGGATTGTCTTTTTTGGTTGGGATTTTACTCTGTTCATTTTTGTCAAGTCTCAATAATAGTTTAAACATTCGTCTTGACTTTGGTTACTTTTACCTTTTGTTTGCAACTTTATTCGCTTACCTTTTTTATTAACTTTTTGGAACAATCCAAATTTTGTAGAGTAGTAAAAATTTTTTCCTACTCTTTTACTTTTATTCTTATTAATAATATCAATTTTATTTGCAAATAATAATAATAATTATAATAATAAAAATAAAACGACAAGTTTAATTAGCTGTATAGTGAAAAAATATACTTTGCAAACAATCAACTGCAAATATTTGTATTAAAATATTAAGAGTATCAAAAATTTGTGGATCAGTGAGTTGACGACAGGACAGTGAAGAATGACATCGATTTTTGAAGCACCTGAAAAAAAATCATTGAGTAAGTCGATTAAAAAATTTTTCAATTATTACCATACTAAAAGTCTCCATGGAGAGAACGAATTTTTTTCCGGCTGTTACTGTGCACGGCCTCATGCTTTTCATCATTATTGGAATGAGGAGTTTTTGGCATTGAGGGGGTAAGTTGTACCACTGTGACATGTAACTGATGTAAAAAAATTTTTTTTGAGGTAATTTGGCAAAGAGAATATTTTTTTTTTGTTGAATTAAATTTTGTGGTAAATTTAAAAAATACGCACGCAGCATGGAAAACTTTTTTACTCTGTTGAATAAGATCTTGGCCGTGCAAACTGGTGTAAAAAAGATGAAACACGGCGCCGAGTGTGAATGCAGCGAATTTTAGCGCTTCGCTGAGTTGATCTAGTTTCATAGTTGTCTGTATGAGTAAAAAAAAGTAATTTAATATTTAATTGAAAGGGTGACATTTGTATGCCAAAGAATTTTTTTGAAATTGTTCAAAAATTTTTTGGCATTTACTTCCTTGAAGTTTGTATTTTTTGACACTTACCACCATTCCAGTCACAGTTAGAATCAATAAATTAAACAGTAAAATTACTAACAAAACAAATGAAACTGATGACTCTAAATTTCGAGAAAAGCTAAGAATTTTATTTGGGGGATTAATAAAAATTATTTGAAAAAAAAAAAATTATTTTCTATTTACCTCAGCGCATTTTTGTGCATGTCAACGCACCGACAAATTTCCCCGCGTAATTTCCTTATATCATCATCATCATTTTCAAAATTTACTTTTTTGTAATTTAATTTTCCCAAATAAGTGCTGAAAATTTTTCATCCCAAAGTAAAATTATTTTTATATTTATCCAAAAATGCTTGCTCAAAATTTTACCTGACAATATCGAACATAGCGCAAGCGTGAGCGACATTGGTCGCCAGCATGTTATCAAAGTAGACGAGAGCACCGAGGGAAATCGGTACGGTCATGTATGCATGAATCAAAATATGAATGTAATATTCATCTTGGTCGACAAAGTATTCCGTTTGATATAAAAAAATTTTTTCACGTGTTCCATTCAGTGGAGCAACTATGTCTAGTATTTTTGGAACTGCCGGCGATGCGAGATACAATGCGAGGATTGAAAACATGGAAACTGTATTTTTTTAAATTAATTAATTTCAGGTAAAAAATAATATTTTCAAATTAACTTTCAAAGAAATAAAAATTTACTATCTGCACAAATTTTTTTAAAAAAATTAAAAGATTAATTTTTTTTTTTTTAATTTATTGCACATACTTGTGTAGCTCCAAGTTATTTTCCGTATGCGCTCTAACCATTTGTTCATGATACCAATATCTTGTTCCACTGTTAAAGATTGTCCATCACGATCAATAAGAAACAACATATTGTTAACCTATTAATTGTTAACCTGTTTTAATAAAAATAAAATAAATATTTATTGATAAATACAATCACCTTTTTTTCATTGAAAATCCAATTGAAATACTTGCTAAGACTCGCCAAGTGGAGCATAACCATCGGCAGACATTCGATAAGATTATCGAGATCAACATCTCTAATACATTCAACAAACTTGATTATCTATTTTTCAACCACATTTATTAACTCTTACTTTAATTAAAGCAAATAGTACACACGCTGAATTAAAGGATAGTATAAATAGTACCTTGGGTGTTACAATGCTAAAGATCGCCAGAAGTACTACGAATCGTGCGCAATATCGCTGAAAAGGCGGCTGAGAAGGCCATTGTCCCAGGATACCAAGGGCGACTCTGAATTCTCGGTAATGTTGAGTATACAGAATATTCATTGCAGTTGCGTGTGTATATTGCGACTATTACTTCAATGAACTTACTTCTTTAAGTTGTTATTCTCAAAGTCAAGCTTTAATCTTTATTCTGTTAGATCTTTTCCGCGGAAAGCTTCTTCAAATATACACGTTAATAATTTATCAGCTATAAGCTTTGCTGGGTAAAGAACAAATCATTTATTTAGTTATACAATCACGCTTGATTTGATTTTGTCACGTTAGTGTAAGTCACGATTGAGATTGAATTGTTTTTAGAAGTTTATTTTTATAATGTTTAACACTTGCTGTGGTTTTAAATCGAAACAAAAATTTTATGACAGACATCTGTCTATTTTTATGATTTTTTTTTTCACGAGAAAAACTTCTAAAAAATAATTAAGTTTAAAAATTTTAAAAACTAAAAGTACAATTTAAAAAAAATTTTTTTTTGCACTAATTTTTTTTTTTTTATTTTAAATGAAACAAAAAATTGGTTGAGTGTCTGCTGATTTTTTTTTTTTAAATGGTGAAGTGAAAAATTAAATTGAGGTTTTGAAAAAAAAATTTTTTTTAACATTAAATTAAAAAATAACCCTACAAAAATTAAAATACAATAATTTATAAATTAATAATGTGATTAATTTATGGTTAAAATGTTTTTATTATATTAAAAATAAATAATGTGTCTTTTTTTTTATGATACTGAAATTGAGAGACATTTAATTATTTTTAGAATTTTTCTAACAAATACATCCCAGCAAAAAAAATTTATTTAAAATAATTTTCTAGACCTTGTTAATTTTTCAAGAAAAATCAAAAAATTGTCGTGTCTGCTAACTTCAGTACCATTTTTTTTTCTCTTTATTTGTAATTTATTAAATTTTCATTAAAATGTAAATTTTAGAAAAAAAAAAATAAATTAAATTAATATTTACAAAATATTTGTTATCAATTATTTATTAACTATTTTAAATGTAACAAATAGTGAAAAATTAAGCAACAATAAGAACAACATTTAATTTTTTATACTTTCAACGCATTGATGACAGAACTGTGAAGAAAGACATCGATTTTTGCATCACCTTTTTTAAAAAATAAAAAAAAAAATATTATTTTTACGCTCCGATATTTTTAAACATAGTGTGCAGTCATAAAACTTACTGAACTGAAAGTATCCTTCGCGAGAATATATACTTTTCCAGCTGAAATTCTGCAGGGATTCATGCTTCGCATCATTATTGTAATAAGGAGTTTTTGGTAAAAGATGGGAATTCTATACCACTCTGAAGAATAACTAAAGAGGGTAATTTTATTTTTATAAAATTTTCTACACTGTAAAAAATATTACGTCATTGCGTCAAAAAATGTTGTATTAAAAATTTTTATGTTAAATATTTAACACTATTCGACCCAATGACGCAAAATTTTTAACTGTTTAAATAATTTTTTATTAATAAAAAAAATCTTTTTTTTTTCAAAGAAATACAAAAAGAAACTAAAGAGGGTAATTTTATTTTTATCAAATTTTCTCAATAATTTTTTATTAATAAAAAAATTTTTTTTTCAAAGAAATACAAAAAATACTAACGTATCATAAAAGACCGCTTCACTGTTGTCTATAAGAAGTTGTCCTTGAAAACTTGTGAAGTAAAGATGGAACGCATGGCCCAGACAAAATGAAACGTATTTTATCGCTTCATTTGTTTCACTGAGCTTAATAACTGTCTGTAGAAAATATTGTGAATTTTACGACGGTAAAGTATCAATAATAATCAATCTTACCGCTGTTCCGGTAAAGGTCAGTCCTACAAGACAAGTTATCAGCATGATGAACCAAGCCGTGCTGTAAGCCGAGTCTATTTCATCGGCAAATCTAATTCAGTAATTGTTTTCAAATATTTTCGAAGAAATAACTAATTAATTATCGAAGAAAATATTTTTTTAACTTACTCTAGAGTAGTTCTGTGCATGCGAACGCAGTGGATTATTTTCTTTGATTTATCTTTCACCTCAACTTGTTCATCGCAAATTTCTACGTGAATTGTCTTCAAATATGTTCTAAGAAAGAAATTTAAGGTAAATTTAATTAAATATTTTTTAATTTTTTTTATTAAAGGTACCGGAGTATTTCAAACATTGCGCAAGCGTGGTAAACATGGGTTCCAAGGAGAATATCAAAGTATATAAGGACTCCCATGGAAATCGGTACGGTCATATAGGCGTGCAGCAGTATGTACAAATAATACTCGTTTTCATCCACAAAATATTCTGTTTCGTAGATTTGTAACAGCGGACGGGATTCGTTCAATGGGTTTATTATGTCCAACACTTTTGGAAATGCTGGAGAGATCAAAAACACTCCGAGAATCCCGAACATAGAAGCTGAAATTTAATTAATAAAAAAAAAATTTAATTAATATTTAAAAAAAAATTTTTTTATATGAAAAAAGACAAAATTTGGATAGATTTTGTGTTTATTTTTTGGACATATATTTTTTTTTGAAAAAATGGTGAGTAAAATATTTTTTAAATTGATTAAAATGAAAAATTTTTATCTAAAGTTCAAAATTTACAAAAATATTTTTTAAAATAAATAATTTATTTCGTTTAAAAAAAAAATTGGTACTTGTATAAGTCGTTGAAATACTTTTGATTTTTCTCAACCAATCGTCCATAATTTCAACATCTTGATTAACTTCCAAAGTCTGTCCATCACGCTCGATCAGAAAAATAAGATGGTCGAACTGGGAAGAAAATTGAAAACAAATTTTCAAAAAATTAAAAAAAAAATTATTTATTCTATTACCTTGCTTGTATTTATAATCCAGTTGAAATATTTGGTAAGACTAGTAAGATGAACGAAAATCATGGGCAAGCACGCGATGATTCCGTCAATGTCATCCATCACTTCAACAAATTTGATAACCTACTTTATCGTTAAAATTTTTCAAAAAATAATAATTAAAACACTTTTGAATGGTTCTACAAGCATTAACAGTTAAGTTACCTTTGGTGTTAAAATACTGAAAATAGCAAATAACACGAAAAACCGAGCACTGTATCGTTGCAGTCGTGACTGAGAAGGCCATTGTCCGAGGAGAGAAAGCACAACTTTGAAATCTTGAAAGTGCGGGCTTTGGAGAATATTCATCGCAGTTTGATGTCTAAGTCACGACTGATACCGAAGTAGAAATTATTATTAATGTTTTTCTAAGAATGATTAGTATTCTCAAAGCTGCGTTGTCTATTTCATTAGATGTCTATGGCGACAGGCTTATGATAATAGAAATAGTCATGAGGCGCATTAATATTTAATTAGCTCTAGCTTTTCGTGAGGCTAATTTATTCATAGAACATTTGTATTATCGATTACTTCCTCTAAAACTTCATCACGCGATATTCAAAATTTTCTTCTTAGAACAAAATTTTGCTATTTCTAGTCAGTTCGATCGAAACTTAATGTCTTCATTTATTTCTTATTGAAGATTGTCCTTATGTGCTTTATTATATAAAATTATAGTCAAGTTTTCTCTTGAAAAATATTCAATTCTTTCTTTAAATATTTTGTTAAGTTTTTATGTGTTGATAATTTTTATTTTTATATTAAATATACAATTTAAGACAGTGTACTTAATTAATTTTTGGAAAGATCAAATAAAAAATGAGTTTTTTTTAAGTTTTAAAAATTTGGAAAGTCGCATTTGTTTTTTAGTTGAATTTTCCAATTTTTTGTGAAGATTTTTAATTTTTAAAAAGCATTTAATCAATAAAAATTATTCTTAAAGTACCAAAAATTTCTTGGACAAAATTTTATGTCAATTTTTAGTGAATAAAACTCAAATTTTAAGCTAAATCAATTTTTCCAATCAATTTTAGACAAAAAAAATTATTTTAATGCATAAAAAAAAAAGTTTTTTTAAAATAAGTAAAAAAAAAATAATATTTTCTAAATTTATTATTTATTTAATAAAATTTCTGTATAAATTTAGAACCAATTTTATCGCATTGATGTCAAAACAGTGAAGAAAGACATGGCATTTTTGAGGACCTTAAAAAAAAAGAAAAAATTCGTAGCTGACTTAATTATTAATTTTTGCAAAATACTTACAATACTGAAAGTATCAAGTGATAAAATATACATTCCGCCGGCAGTAATCACACTTGGTGTCACACTTTTCATTATCAGAAAACTGAGGAGCTTTTGGTGAGAACAAGGAAGGTTATACCACTTGGAGTCGTACCTGAAATTAAAATTGTAATTTTATTACACGGAGAGAAATTTATAGGAATCTTTCCAACAATTATGGGAATGGATCCTATAATAAAATTATCATTATAGGCATTAATCCTATACTCATTATGGGAACCATACCCATAATTTATGGGAAACGTTCCTATACAATAATGGAATAGCTTCAATATATTATGGGAATAATGGTTCCTATAATATTATAGGAATGGTTCCCATGATGTCGTCGGCACTGGTTGGCACGGCTCTGCCACCCCACGAGCGACGCTTCCCGACACCCACACCACCATTGGGGGGACCAATGTCCATGGGACAGCTAGCTTGTGTGCGCGGGAACTAGGAACCGACGCAGATGCCTGATTCGGGATCGAAAGAGACGGAGTACAGCTATATATTGTTCTATGTTGTTCCTGCTACTACGGTGCTGCTAGTGGGGATCATCTCAAATCTCGTTGCTACCAAGTCAGACCCAAAGGTCGATCGATATTTTTTTTTTGCTTATTTTGTTGTTCGCTTTATTTTTGCTAAAATATTTAATCGACATTGTTGTTGATATTTAGCTTTATGTTTATTTTTGTTAGATTGAAGAGTTTAGAATCGTGAAAATATTTGATCTTAGTGAAAGATAATTATAATATTTCAAGTGTCATTTAATATGATATAGTAAAGAATGTAGATTAGTATAGGTAGTATAAGAATTCAAAAAATTATTTTGAACATTGTGTAAATTTTAGTGATTTTTTTTTGTATTGACATAATTTATTTAAGGAGGTCCTTTCGCCGCCAATGTAAAATAAAAAATCTTAGATTATGAGTAAATTCAATTTTTTTCTAATAGTTAAGGTCTTTATTTATCTAATAGTGAGGTTTAGATTATACTTTACCGGACAAATTTTTGAGAAAATAAAATTTTTAAATGTTAGTATTTGTTCAGAGTCTTACGAGGAAGTCAGACGTTTGCAGTATTTCTCGGATTATACTATCAGTCATGGATTAGATGGAGTAAAAAAAAACTAAAAATTAGATTTTTCGAAATATTCAGGTTTCTTTTTTTGTAATAAAATATATCAGTTACCGAGATATTTATTGAGAAATTAATATTTTAAAATCACAAAAAATTCTCAAGTAACCTACATTAATATATGGAGTCAAAATATTTGGCAACGTTGCGTAGCGCGCGAGCTTGAGACCATTCAATAAATTCAAACTAATTTATTTATTTACACTGACTGCAAAAACTTAAACGTGTTTAAGGTTATATTGTGCAAATGAAAATGTAAACAACCGAAGTACAGCGTTGCCAAATCACGGACAGGTTACTAGCAGTTGATTTGAAAGAGTCAAATTAATTTTTGTATTTAACTATTTTTTTTTTTTATTTTCAAAATTTCAACGATTAATGCCTCATATACTATTTATTATTTAATTTTAGGAATTTTTATGGGTTTTTTATTTTAATTTATCGTATATTGACTACTACAATTGTTTTGACTCAACTGGAGCGAAAGGATTTCCTTAATTAAATACCACAGTTGTGTGAAAAAAAATTACTCCAATATTATTGGCATCATTCCTATAATATTATGAGAATGGTTCCCATAATATTATAGGAATGGTTCCTATAATATTATGGAAACTATTCCTATATATTATAGGAACCATTCCCATAATTATAGTAACGTTTCCCAAAAATTATGGGTATAATTCCCATAATTTAAGTAATCGCTCCTAAAATGGTATAGGAAAATATTTCATTAAAATTATAGGAATGATTTCCATATTTTTCTCTCCGTGTAGTAAGTTTTTTTTTTTTTTTAAGTACATACGCAGCCCGAAAAACTCTTTCACTTTGATCTATAAGTTCTTGGCCCTGAAAACTAGTGTAGAAGAGGTGGAAAACCGCGCCGATAGTAAAAGCCATAAATTTGAAGGCTTCGTTAGGTTGATCAAATTTTGTAGTTGTCTGCAGAAATAAAAAAAATTTTTTTTTAATTTTATAATAGCAAGTCAGACCGCAAAAAATTAAAAATTCTTACTACTGTGCCTGTTATTGAAATTATCGTCAGACTGAAAAATAAAACTAGCAACCAGGCTGACGATATAGAATCTTCTAAATCTTGAGAAAATCTGAGGATTCAAAAAATTAGTAATGCTTATTTCTAAAAAAAAAAAAGCTTAAGAAAAATTTGATAAAAGTTCACGAAAAAAAAATTAAAATTTGTAACTAAAAAAAAATTTTGATAAAGCTTCGAATTTAAATGATCAAAATAATTAAACTTTGAAGCCTTGTTAAAATTTTTGAAACAACAAAACTCACTTTAGAGCATTTTTATGCATATTAACGCAGCGCACGATGTTCCTATGAATTCTTCTGTAATCTTCTTTGCTACCAACTTCACTTAATTTTCCAACATTGATGTTTTCTAAATAAGTACTATAAAAATTTAGTTTTACTCAAATATAGTTAACAAATATCAAAATTTAATAAGTATAATTTAGGATGTAGTTTACCTGAGAATATCAAACATGGCGCAAGCATGATGAACCTTCGTTCCAACTAAATTATCAAAGTAGACGAGAACAGCGACGGAAATTGGCACGGTCATGTATGCGTGGATCAAAATATGAACGTAGTATTCATCTTGGTCGACAAAATATTCTGTCTGGTATAAAAATATTCTTTTACGAGATTCATTCAGCGGATTTATCAAATCCATCAGCTTTGGAGCGCCAGGAGATGCCAGGTATAATATTAAAATTGAAAACATGGCGGCTGTATAATAAATATTTTTTTTTGGATATTAAAAGACCAAAATTTGACAAAATTAACAATTTTATTTTTTAAGAAGCAATCATAAAATTTGAATTTTATGCAGACACTTTAAAAATAACTCAAATTTAATTTAATTAATTTTTTTATCAATGAATAATATTTAAAAACACAAAATCCATACTTGAATAACTCAAAGAAACATTTCGTATTCGCTGTAACCATTTTTCCATTATAGCAACATCTCGGTCTAATTTCAAAGCCTTTCCATCACGATCGATGTGTAAAATTAAATTATTCACCTGCAAAAAGTAGAAAAAAATTCCCAAAAAAAAATTATTTTGTGTTCTAAGAAATAAAAAATTCAAAAATACCTTCTCTTGATTAAAAATCCAGTTGAAATATTTTGTAAGAGTTACAAAGTGGAGAATAATCATCGGCAAACATTCGATAACTTCATCAATGTCTCTAATAACTTCAAAGAATTTGATAATCTATTCTATCCATATATAGTTTATAAATCGAATGCCAAATTTTATTTATTAACGTAAAACAGTTACCTTTGGTGTCAAAATACTGAAAATAGCTAACAGAACAATAAACCGTGCACAATATCGCTGCAAGGGTGACTGAGAGGGCCATTGTCCCAGAAGGGTGAGCACGACTTTGAATTCTCGAAAATGACGGGTTTCGAGAATATTCATTTTAGTTGCGTGTCTGTGTTGCGACTGACAATCATTGTCTTCTTGAAGTCAATTTTCGCTAAAATCATTGGCTATTCTCTCAGAAGTCTTAGTTGCAAAAGGAACAGAGGAAATGATTGGTCAATAATTAATGAACTATAGATTTCGAGAAACAGAACAATTGTTTCGCCGAACGATGCTTGTTACAAACACGTAAATTTATCACGCGACTCTGGAAAATTTTTATAAACTTCTTCATTGTTATCCATTTTTCGCTGAAAGTCACTGCAATAAATTTGTCCTAAAATTTTTTTGGTAAATTTTATTTAGTTTTTTTAATATAACAGTTATCAAAACATTTTTCTATTTATTCACTAGTTGTTATCTAGCCTCTAAAGTAGCTAACTATTACAATAATTATATCACATTTTGAGAATTGAACTATCGTTGAAGAGTTTTCAACGCATTGAAGATATGAGTGTAAAAAAAGACATCGCTTTTTGGATTACCTTCAAAATAAAATACCATTTGTGAGTTTTTAAAAACGTTTATTCAAGTTTTTTGCTACTTACGGAGCTGAATAAATCCATCGACAGGACAAATATGCTTCCTGCGGATATGCTGCAAGGAGTCTTACTTCTCATCATAATGGGGATCAAAAGTCGCTGGTACTTTGGAGGGAAATCGTACCAATCAGAAAAGTAACTAAAAAATGGTATTTATTGAATTTAAATAAATATTTTGATTTTTTTATAATTTTGTAGGAGTAAAAAATTTTTAAAAACGGACACTGAATAAAAAACTGCTTCACTTTCTTCTATGATCATCTGAGCCTGGAAAGTTGTGTAATAGAGGTGGCAAACGTTGCCTAGTGAAAATGAGACGAATTTTGTTGCTTCCATTGGATTGTCGAGTTTCATAACTGCCTGAAAATTTTTCGTAGAATTTTTGTAGGTTTTCATTAATTTTATACAATTTTTTTTTATTAATTTTGAAAAAAATCTAGAAGTGTTATTTATTAATATTTTTCATGGAAATATTTTATATTTTTAATACGATTCTTTTTATTTTTATTTTTTTAAGAATAATACAGGTTCAAAAATTAATTTTTGAACAATTACAAAGTGGGTACTAATGCTTGAAAAAATTGAAATTTGTCTACTAACCACAGTCCCGGTAAGTGTAATTACAAAAGTACACAATGTTAACATAATAAACCAAGCAGTACTGTAAGATGCTTCCAATTCGTCGGCAAATCTAATAAATAAGTTCAAAAACATAATTAACCACTTATACCATCAAATATTTTATAGTAATAAAAAAAAACATCAATATACTCAAGAGTATTTTTATGAATTTTAATACAATCGATAATTTTCCGCTTAAGCATTTCAGATTTTTTGGAATCTGTAGCTTTACAAATATCGAGGTGAATCGTTTCCAAATATGATCTAAAAATAGAGTTAAATAAATTAAACATAATACAATATTAATCAAAAATAATTATAAAAGGTAAGATAAATAATGTAATTGCACAAAAAAAAAAAAAATTAATTTGAATCAAAAGAAAAATTCTTGAACCAAAAAAATAATATTGAAGAGTTTCAGTGTTTTGGATCAAGACGAAAAATTCTTGAATTGAATAAAATTAACTTAAGCCAAGAAAAATTTCTCAGTCTAAGAATTTTCTTGCTCAAGTCAAAAAGATAAAATTTTTTTAAATTATTTACTTGATTCAATTTTTTTTTCTGTCTGTCAATATGATGTTATAACTTCCCAACTTTTGGAAATTTTCACTTTTCTTAGCGGGAAATTAATAAAAATATGCTACTTAAATTCTAAATTCTACAAATGTGAATTCATTTATTAAACAATACTATTATAAATGTGAATATAAAATGTTTATGTATTTTGTATTATTTGCCATTTGGCTAATAAGGCCTTGGCACAACTCTATGATAAATAAATAAATAAATAAATAAATATAATGTTACCTGAGTATGGTAAACATTGCACAAGCATGATGAACATGCGTGCCGAGAAGAACGTCGAAATACACAAGAATAATAATGGAAACTGACACTGACATATACGCATGCAGCAGTATATAAATGTAGTATTCTTCTTCATCAACGAAGTACTCAGTTTGGTACAGCATTACCAAAGGCCGAGACTCATTCAGAGGAACGGCAATGTCCAAAATTTTGGGCACTGCTGGTGCGAGGAAAAATATCCCCAAAATAGTGAATATGCTGGCTGCTCAGTTAAAAAACAATTTTTTCGGGCTAAAGTTGAGGCTTTGTTCAAATTTTAAACATACTTGCATAAGAAGCGCTGCTGAGTCGAATTCGGTTCATCCAACTTTCCATGATCTCGACGTCTTTGCTCACTTCCAAAGTCTTGCCGTCGCGTTCGATATGGATGAATATTTTTTTGAGCTAAATTTGCATTTTAAATTATTAAAAATTTGAAACATGCAAAAACCACAAAGCAAAATTAAAAATTTTGAATTTCTATTTTTTTCAGTGTACCTTGTCAGCATTGAAGATCCAGTTTAAATACTTTGTCAAACTTACAAGATGAACTATAATCATCGGCATGCATTCAATAGCGCTGTCAATATCGTGAATAAGTTCAGTAAATTTGATCACCTATTGCAACAAAATTTTTAATGTTTTTGAAGTTTATAATTTTCAAGTTAAAAAAAATTACCTTGACGGTCAATATACTTAAAATAGCTAAAATTACAAAAAATCGCGCGCAATTTCGCTGAAGAGGCGGCTGGGGAGGCCACAGTCCTAGGACAGTAAGCACGACTTTGAATTCTCGAAAATGACGTGTTTCAAAAATATTCATCGTAAGTTTGTGTCAGTTTTGTGACTGTTTGTTCTATTTCCATCGAAACTTTTAATGTCTTCATGTCTTCGTTTGAATATCATGATGTCCTTATCTTCAATTCTGTAAGAAGTCTTTGCTCCAGGCTGATAATAATAATGAGATGCAAGGCAGCTTAATAAATAATGAGCTGGAGGTTATAATACAGTGGTTTTAAATGTATACAGTGGTTATACATGTACTGACTGTTTGCTTTGATGTTTTACCCCGTAAATTTCAGAAATAATATTCTCTTCTTTACACAGTAGTCTTACAGGGCTTTATCATAATAATATTAAACAAAAAGTATAATTTTACTGACATTTCTATTTCATCGTAAAAAAATTTTTTTTTTCTTTAAAGTGACAAAATTTTCTTTACAAAAAAAAAAGATAAATTTTTTTTTTTGATTAAAAATTTGTGGTTCTGTATTTTTCAAAGAATTCGCAGTTAGAAAAATATCAAAGATTACATTGTTATTTATCATAGTACATAACTTACACATACGTATTAATAATAAGATATGAGTATAAAAAAGTTACAAAATTTGATTAATTAACTATAAGTCTTAAGTTTATGATCTTCATTTTTAATAAATTTTTTTTAGCGAAGATACTTAGTACAAAAAAGCGATGCAACCATTCCAAAGTGCTAATTTTATTTTTATTATAATTATTCGGTTATTAATACTCAACTTTGTAATATTAGGCACGCATTGATGCAAACACAGTGAGGTACGAAAATGACGTTTTTACAATCTAAAATAAATTTTTTTTATATTTTTAGTTTATTCTATAATTTTTTTTGAACAAAGTGTAGATTTCTTACCACGCTGAAAGTTTTTAAAGACATTTCGAACATTTTTCCTGCGGTCAATCTGCAAGGAATGGCACTTCTTAACAAAAATGGCACCATTAGTTTTTGGGAACGCACTGATGTGTCAATCCAGTTTGCTTGGTAACTAAATTTTGATCAAATTAAATAAAAATTGCGCTTTAAAAAAAAATTAACTTAATTCAAGAGAAAAAAACTATTATTGAAAAATTTTGAACCACGCAGTGCACAGTAAAAAATTTTGCGTCAATACGTCAAAAATTTTTATGTTAAATATTTAACACTTTTTTGTATTGATTTAACAGAATAAATGTTAAATTTATACATAAAAGTGTTAAATATTTAACACAAAATTTTTTGACGCGATGACGTAAAATTTTTTACTGCGTGGTTTTGAATTAAGAAATTTTTTTTGGACTAAGAATTTTTCAATCAAAAATACAAAATTTTTTAAAACAAGTTCCTTGGTTGAAAATTTATTTTTTTCAATCAAAATAATTTTTTTAACCGTGTAAATTTTTTATTTTTGGAAAAAAATCAAAAATTCTATTCAATACTAACGCACGGTCAAATATTGATTCGCTGTGCTTCAAAAGTAGTTCCCCTTGCCAGCTGCTGTAGAAAATATGGCAGACTTCTCCCAAAGTAAAAAACGCGAACCGACCTGCTATTTCTGTTTCATTCATCATAAATTTGAACAGAGCCTGCAAAAATATCAAAATTTGAATTTTGGTAGAACCAAAATTTGTTTTCAAAATATATATTTACCACCAAAGCCGAAGTTGTCATCATTATTATATTTATCCCAATTATAGAAAGAAAACTGACACAATTAGCATCTTCGACAAGATTAGCAAACCTGCTTAGAAAGTTCAAAATTTTCAATAGGATCAAAAAACAATTATTATTAAAGAAAAATACGGACTCGATTGCACGGTTATGAAATGCAATGCACTTGACCACATCTTTGTAGTCAACATTCGCAAATTTATCATTATGGTCGCTGATTTTCCGATCTGCTCTTTTGGCAATCCGGTCCAAAAACAACCTGAAAATTTCAACGAGTTTTGATTTGGTTAATTGTTAATGATCAAGTATGAGGTAGTTTGAGTTTTATATAAAGTTTTTACCCAAGAATTGCAAATTTAGCGCAGCCATGTTGGATGTAAACCATCAACATCGTGTCAATTGCTATGATTATGGTCAAAAACGCGACGGTGCCAAGATAATTGTGGATAAATAGAGGATAAAAATATTTTTCAGCGTCTACTAGAAATTCTATTTGTTGGAACATTAAGTGCTTTGGATAACTTTCGTTCATAGGAGCGATTACATCCAGCAGCAGAGGAGTGATTGGCACTATTACTAAGGGCGCCAATGTTCCGTAAAGAGCTCCTGTGTAGTAAATTGTAACTTTTTTTCCAAAATGGGCGTATTCATTTAAAATGTCGTTTTCTGGGCCGGAAGAAAAAGTTTTCCAGTCATCTTCCATTATCAAAAGTAATTTTTTCATCTAGGATTAAAATTTTTTTTTTTCATTTAAAAAATAATTATTATTAAAAATTTTAAACAAGGAATAAAAGGTTAATTTATTTATTTATTATTTTGGACAAAATTTCAAACGATGAAATCTTAAAATTTGAATTTTGGATTTAGATTTTTGTCCTGAAGTACGTAATAAAATTTTATAAAATTAAAAAATTAAATGAGGTTCATTTAAAATTATTAATAATTATAATTTTTACATTGATTCAATTTTTAAAAAATACCTTGCTGAAGTTTACAGTAAAGTTGAACATTTTTATTGCACAAACAACATCGGCCAATACTGTAGGAATCGCTTCCAAAAAAACATCGATGTCAACTCTTGCAGCTATCATTCCAGCAGTCTGAGATTAAAAAAAAAATTTTTTTCTAATAATTAACTTTAAAATAAAAAATTTTAAATAATTAAAATTATTTTTTAATAATAAATAAAATTTATATCTTGAATTTAGAGAAGTTTTCTTAAAATAAATAAAAATCGTATTAATTATAAGAAATGCTTTAACAACACAGTTAATTTTCTTTTAATAAATTATTTAAAACTGAAGAATAAATCACAAAAAATTTTTTTTTGAATTGTCACTTAGTTAAATATTAAAAAAGAAAAAAATTCACTGATTTTTTAAAATAAAAACTAAAACTATTTTAATAATTTCAATTATCACTGACAAAAAAAATTATGTGGTTCGGTTAAAAAAAAAAGAAATTTAAATGAATTAAAAAATATATTCCTAATCGCGTTAATCACCTGAAGATATCCTTGCGTAGAACAGAAAAAAAATAAAATAATATAACAAATACACTTAGACAATTTCGTCTGATGGGGCCACTGGCCAATAACACTAAGAAAAATCTTATTAATTCTATGATACGGTGTAGTAGTGTTAGTCTCCATGGCTAGTTAAAACTTTGTTGCTAGTTAGTTGTCACAGGACTAAGAGTCAACTAGACTGACTGGTCTATTGTTGCCTATCGATCTCATTTAAAATTCTGTTACAAGCAATTTTTCCTAGTATCTAATGCCTGACGTGGTGAAACTAGTCACGAAATTTGAATTTTTGATCGAAATTTTAGCTCTAAAACGGCCTAACGATACTAGGCTTTGAACATTAGACGGAAAATTAGATCTGAAGGTTTCTATTGCTAGTACAGTCTTTGGTAACTAATACTGTTCGTAGTATTCTTGGGCAATTATTGTTAATTTCCTAAATTTGGATATAGCTTGTTACTCCGTATTGATCCTTTTCAATTTTCTTATTTTCTAACTTTACTTACATGGAAAAAAATTTTACACATTTTTTGACTCAAATTTTTGGAAAAATATTTTTTTACACACATAAAATTGTACTTACATTTGTTTTCAGATTAAAATTGTGTGAAAGTACTTACAGTGTTTTTTCAGTGAAATTTTTCCTTCAATTTTCTGTAAAAATTTTTATAAATCCAAAAATTTAAGAATTTGAGTAAGTATCAAAACATTTTCCGATATATCAATTTGTTATTAAAAAAAAAAAAAAATACCTGAAAATAAAACACTCAAAAAATATATTAATTAATAATCAATTCAACATATTTATTAACAACAATAATAATTCAAAGTTCATAATAAAAATATAACAATATATATTTTTAATTTTGAAAAGACAGCAACATTGTGAAGTACGAGCCGCTGGTTTTGAGCATCATCCCAAAACTCTTGATAGACAAGCCCATGATTTTTCCTGCAGTAAGTATGCACGGAACTTGAGACCTCATCGTCATTAAAATCAAAAGTTTTTGAGATTTTGGCGAAAGGTTGTACCACTTTCCGTTCGCTCTATTGGAAAATGTAAGCATTAAATAAATTTCAGCAATTTTTTGAAATTTTCTCAGGTCCATACATGTGTTCTTGGATTTGGAAACTCATATCCGTCAGTCGTTGAGACAGGAAGCATTCAAAAAATAGGTGCAACATCTGAGCTCCAGTGAACATTACGTACTTAATTTTTTGTTGCAAAGTGCCTCCTTGTGCGATAATCTGCAAATTTAATTTTTGGACATTACAGTTTTCCAAATTTTGCTTATTGTATAAATTTGATGTCAAACCTGAACTCCAGTGATACTCATCAGCGGCAAATTTAAGCCGACCACCATTCCAAAGCATCCCGAAAAAGTTGTTTCAATTAAATCTACATAGCTTGAGCAAATAATTAATTTAACAAAATTTTGAACCTTTTTTTACAGAATTTTGAACCTTTTCATAAAAAATACAAAATTTTTACATACTTCAAAGCCAGTTTGTGAATTTTTATACAAGATATCAAATGTTTGTAATGAAAATCGTGAGAGCGGTTCAAAATAGTGGTTCTCCTAGGTAACATTTTCAAATTTTTGTCGCTGGTCAAATTTTGAATCCTGTGTCTAGAAAAAAAGCTCGCATTGAAGGAAACAACTGCGCAATAGTAAGTTCAAGTAATTAATACCCTGTAAGTGCAAATAATCCACAAGCGTGATGCACAAAAGTGATAAAAATAACATCATAAGAAATAAGACAACTCAAAATCACCATAATGCACACACTGGAGTTGCTCAAAAGTATCCAATAGTATTTTTCTTTGTCAATTATTATCCACTCCATCGGATCAGCGAATTTGTGCGGAGCCGATAAGTTTGTTTTAAAAACAGAGTTTATTAATATCGGCAAAACCGGTTCCGTTACAAATGTTATTGTTGTTATGTAAACAAACCCTTTAATAAAATTTAGAAATATTTTTTTGGATTTTAAATTAAGCTTTTTTGAGTAAAAAATGTTTAACCTGCGTATCCAGTGGCCAAAAGTTTTCCAAACTCTGCATAACTTTTCAAAATTTCTTTTTCTTCACTATTTGTCACGAGCTCCCAGTCGTCTTTAATCGTTTCAAAAAGTTTTTTAAGCTAAATACGAGAGTAATAATTCGATTGTACTGAAATTAAGTGAAATTATTTCCAAATTTTTACAACAAACCATTTTTGCATTGACCCAAGTGTTTATATACTTGGCAAACGCCATTATGTTCGTTATTGTGGGCGCCAAAGTTTCGAGGACCAATTCTTGATCATCAGAATGCACAATATCGGCTAAGATCTGCAATTAAAAAATGTAAATTTAATTATTCTTGAATTTTGGGCAAAAAAAATAAAGAAATTTTGTAATTTTGGTAAGAAATAAAAATTGTTTTTACAACAACTTTAATACTTTAGGTCCAACTTGCAAAATATACGCAGCAATAATAACGACTCCTATCATAAAACACTGAAGACTGGATTGGTAAGGCCATCGACCTATCAACCGAGCGAAATTTCTCGATAACTTATAACAAGGTTGGTGAAAAAAGTCCATTGTTCTAGGCTCTTTGTATTTCTGACAGTTATTTTTTTTATATTTTCTGACATAATTTGTGCTTTTCTTTAAAATTTGAAGCCCTTCCATCAAGGCTGACGTTACACCCCCTGACACTCATTTTAAAGTGACGTTGACGGACGTTTAAACTAGCGATTTCAATCATTTTTTTATAGCTCACCTTTGTATTCGTAGTGTTGTTATAGCAACCATTCTTTTTTTCTCGCAGAAAAAAATTTAGACGCCGCTCATTGATCAGTTTGTTCTTCGGCTGCAAAGGATAAGGAACAAGGAGATTTACATTTCGAGGGTGTATTGACACAACTTTGTATCTGCTGTGAATTTCAGTCAGAAGATACAACGTTTTGCAGTAGTACCCTTGATTGACTTACAATTATGGATTTTACATTTTTACAAAATTACGGGTGAAAAAATATTTTTGGAAACTTAAAAAATTGGTAAGTACTTCATCAAACAAGGTAAAAAAAATTTTTTTTAAACTATTGCATGGTTTTTTCCTTAAACTATTAAATATTACCAGAAAAAAAATTTCTTTTTGCTTGTTTATTAAAAAAATTAATTAATAACTAACATTAGAATTTTATAACAGTTCAGAAATGTTTGATTTATTTTTTTGGAATTTTATTAACATGTCGATGAATTAATTAAGCTTAAGAACTTCTTATTAAGTTCTTCAACAAAATTATTATTATTAAGTTCTTCTAAAGCTTAAGACCTTCTTCTTATAAACTATAGTTTATTATTATTTTCAGAAATTTAGAATTTTCATTGTTACATCACCGCGTTCAAACTTTATTTTTTTATTTTTATTTATTTATTGAAGAAATTCGGCCCTAGAACTGACGTTCCTTAAAGGCCGTAGAAATTTAATAGTATTACATAGTGAGGAAGTACTTTGAATGCAAAATTTAAAAGTAATTTGAATACAAAATTAAAAAGAATTTGAATACAAAATTGAAAAGTAGTTTGAATACAAAATTTTGAATAACATTTTAATCACATAAGTAAATAAACGATTATTATTATTATTGACTCTCCAGTTCAAATGTCTTTATCAAAAATTAATTTGTAACACAACGTCTGAAACTCAGCTGAAGATTTCACGGCCACAAGATCACTCGGTAACTGATTCCATTCCCTCACTGCAGTCAACAAGAATGAGTTTTCATAGGCAACAGTCCTACAGGCAGGCTGATGCAGAACTTGATTTCTACGCTCAGCACGGCCCCTGACATTAAACAATATTTTGAAGTTCGAATGCAACAACTTGTGATGCTGCATATTCAAACTTTAACAGAAAAGATCTTACAATATGCTTCAAAACTTCCAATAAATTTATTTTTTATGATTATTATATACCAATCAAATCGTTTTTGCATCCGCTGCAAGGTTTTTAGGCCTAATAATTGACTAAATAAAAAATTCAAAATTAGTAATTCAAAAAAAGCGTTTAAGAGCTCTAATGTAAATTTAATATATTTATTCAAAAATTGAAAAAACGATCACCATTAAATAAAAAACTTATTGTATAGATAACAGCATCGTAAAGTATGATCCGCTAGTTTTGATCATAGCTCCAAAGCTTTCGATGGACAGTCCCATAATTTTTCCTGCCGTTAAAGTACAAGGTACTTGACACCTCATGGTCATCAAAATCAGCAATTTTTGAGATTTTGCCGAAATGTCGTACCACTTTCCATTGGCTCTGTTCAAAATAACATTATTATTATAAATCAAAAATTATATTATTAACAATTTAATATGTATTTTTATTTGTTATTTATACATGTGTTGTTGAACTTGCGAACTTATATCCGTCAGCTGCTGAGACAGGAAGCATTCGAAGAAGAGATGTAGCATCTGAGCTCCTGAGAACATGACGTACTTCATTTTTTGTTGAAATGTGTTCGAAGCTGCAATTATCTGAAAAAAAAAAGTTTTTTGACTCGCCCAAAACAAGACACGCGTTAAATATATTGATAACTAAACCTGAACTCCAGTGATGCTTATTAACGGCAAATTCAATCCAATCACAACTCCGAAGCATCCAGCGAAGGTGTGTTCAATAAAATCTGCGTATCTTCAAAAACATGTGAGTTATCAAAAAAATTGTTCTAAAAACAATTTGAGAAAATTAAATTACATTTTTTGACATACTCTAAAGCGCGTCGGTGAATTCTGATGCATGAAACTAAATGTTTGTAATGAATATCCCGCTTATTTGTTATTGGATCAAATTTTGAAAAGTTTTTTTCTTGTCTTGTATTATTGGGCAAATTTTTGATCCGATATCTGCAAGAAATATTCTTTCAAATTTAAAACGCTTTTATGATTTTATTAATTTGGATTAATTTCATTATTGCACACCCTGTAACTGCGAATAATCCGTAAGCATGGTGAACAACGGTGATGAATACGACGTCATAGCAAATGAGCGTTGTCAAAATGATCATGATGCAAACGCTGGAATTGCTGAGTAACAACCAATAATATTTGTCTTTGTCTATTACAATCCACTCCATTGGAACGGCAAATTTATGTGGCGCAGTGATGTTCGTTTTTAATATTGCATTCATTAGTATCGGCAAAATTGGCTCGATAATAAACATCACAGTTGATGTGTATACAAATCCTTAAAATAACTGCATTGTCTTTAAATAATACGATTACACTGATAGAAGGATTTATTTGTAATAAAAAATATTTTTTAGTATTTAAAATAATTTGTTTGTATTTAATAAATTTGATATTCATTTATTAAATACTAATAAATCTTTTTAAATACTATGAAATATTTGTTAAGGACTAAAAAGTGGTTTCCAATAAATGATTTGCTAAATATTAACTAATATTTTTAACTATAAACAAATCCTTCTATCAGTGTATGAAATAAGGAAAGCAGCAAAGAAAAACAATAAAAATTTGATAATTTTAACATTCAATAAATTTGAAAGTAAATTTTTTTAAAGAATGGCGCCCGAATGTAAAAAAAAATATTTAATATTAAATAAATAAAATTGATCCATTGTTAACCTACGTATCCAGTAGCCATGAGTTTTCCCACTCCAGCGTGTTTTTTCAAAATAACTTTTTCACTGTTGTTTGTAATTAATATCCAGTCTTCTTTAATCCTTTCCAAAAGATTCTTAATCTGGATAAAAATTGAAAAAGTGATAATTAAAAAAAAAAATAATTATTATTATTTATTACAAACCATTTTTGCATTTATAAAAGTATTAATATACTTTGCGAAAGCTGCAAAATCTGTTATAGTAGGAGCCAATGTTTCAAAAATCAGCTCCCGATCATCAGAGTGCACAATGTCTGCCAAAATCTGTCAAAAATGACCAATACAAAAAATAATTAAATAGAAAATTGTTTTAATATGAATTTGAAGTTATTTAAACAGTTTATTCTTTTACTTTCGGTCCCACTTGCAGAATATAAGCTAGATTAATGATGATCCCTATCAAAAACTTTTGAAGACTAGTCTGGAACGGCCACCGACCTACGAAGCGGCCGAAAGTTCGAGGTAAACTATAATAAGGCTGATCGAAGAAGTTCATTGTTTCAAGAGGTCTTTGTTACTGATTCAAATTTTTTTCCGGTGGTAAAAATAAAAAAGCAATCATGTTATGTTTATGTCAATACTACCCTTCGTTCGCAGAATCGAAGTGACGATGACGGACGTTTCCTGATGCTGTCAATCAAGTGTCAAAATCGCACTTTTTGTATTCAAAATGTTGCTATGGTTACTTGGGTTTTTTTTTTTATTGTTATTATTGGCAAAATATACAGTATTGCTTATTGATTAGCTATTTGAACAATACAATGTTTTACACAGTCAGATAATGTTAATTTCAAAAGATTATTGTGACTTAGTAAATCAATGTTCACACAGTTTGTTAAAGTGCTTATGAAAATTTTTAAACAGTATAAAATTTAATAATTACATGGAAACTATAAAATTTTTCTTAAGGAATAGGTAAGTAGTAATTTTACTTAAAATCTGTTTTTGTTGAAAGTATCGAGTGTCAATTTTATGATCATGTGCATTTTTTTTTTTTAATTATTGATAAGAATAAAATATGATTTGGTTGGTTTTAATTGCTGAAAAAATAGATGATTATAATTTCAAAAAATGAAATAATTTTTATCAATATTAGATTTTAATAATTGTTTTTTTTTTTTATTCAAAATAAAGTTTTAATAGTTTTAAGTATATTTGTTTGAAAAAAAAAAAAAAGAAATTTTTTTGGATTAGATAAATTTTACTTGATTAAAAAACTTTTCTCTTGAATCAAGTCAATTTATTTTCTACTGTTGAAATAATTTGTTAAATTAATTAGGCTAAGAAAGTAAAGAATACAAAATATAAATATAAAAAATGAAATATAAAATTAGTGATTAAAAAAAATGGTTTAGGAGCTCTAATGTATGTTTAATATATTTATTCCCAAAATTGAAAAAACGGTTACCATAAAATAAAAATTATTGCATCGATAATAGCATTGTGAAGTATGATCCACTAGTTTTGATCATAGCCCCAAAGCTTTCGATGGACAGTCCCATTATTTTTCCTGCCGTTAAAGTACAAGGTACTTGACACCTCATGGTCATCAAAATCAGCAATTTTTGTGATTTTGCCGAAATGTCGTACCATTTTCCATTGGCTCTGTTCAAAATAACGTTATTATGAATCATAAGTTATATTATCAACAATTTAATATGTATTTTTATTTGTTATTTATACATGTGTTGTTGAACTTGCATGCTTAGATCAGTCAGCTGCTGAGACAGGAAACATTCGAAAAAAAGATGTAGCATCTGTGCTACTGCGAACATAAAGTACTTCATTTTTTGCTGAAATGTGTTCGAAGCTGCCATTATCTGTAAAAAATAAGTTCTTTGACTCGTTCAAAAAAAGACATGCGTTTAATATATTGATAACTGAACCTGAACTCCAGTGATACTTATTAACGGCAAATTCAATACAATCCCAAATCCAAAGCATCCAGTGAAGGTGTCTTCAATAAATTCAGCAAATCTTCAAAAACATGTGAGTTATCAAAAAAATTGTCTTATGAACAATTTGAGAAAATTAAATTACATTTTTTGACATACTCTAAAGCGCGTCGGTGAATTCTGATGCATGAAACTAAATGTTTGTAATTAATATCCCGCCTATTTGTTATTGGATCAAATTTTGAAAAGTTTTTTTCTTGTATTGTATTATTGGGGAAATTTTTGATCCGATATCTGCAAGAAATATTCTTTCAAATTTAAAACACTTTTATAATTTAATTAATTTGGATTAATTTCATTATTACATACCCTGTAATTGCAAATAATCCGTAAGCATGGTGAACAACGGTGATGAATATGACGTCATAGGATATGAGCGTCGTCAAAATAACCATGATGCAAATGCTGGAATTGGTGAGTAACAACCAATAATATTTGTCTTTGTCTATTACAATCCACTCCATTGGAACCGCAAATTTATGTGGCGCAGTGAGATTTGTTTTTAATATTGTATTCACTAGCATCGGCAACATTGGCTCCGTTACAAACATTACAGTCGTTGTGTATACAAATCCTTAAGATAATTATATTATTATTAAACAATTTGATAATCAAATTGAGAAAAAAAAATTGATATTTTCAAGCAAAGCAAAGAGAAAAAAAGGATTTGGAAAATCCAAAAGTGCACGCCTCATAATCTTATTTTTCACAATAAAATTGATTAAAATAAAATATAAAAAGCAAAATAATACAAAACAGAAAACTCTACTATGGTTTAGTGGTGCCATAACTCTAAGGTGAGGAAAAAAAATACTATAATAAAATGTATTCAAATATTTACACCGGCAGATTTTGTAATTAAAAAGAAATTCTATTGAAAAACTTTAATTAATATATTAATAAAATTTATTTATTTTTAACCAACGTATCCAGTAGCCATAAGTTTTCCCCATGCTGCGTATTTTTTCAAAATAACTTTTTCACTGTAGTTCGTAGCCAACCTCCAGTCTTCTTCAATCCTGTCCAGAAGCTTGTTAATCTAGCAAAAATCAACGATTAATAATTTTCTTCAAAAATAATGATTATTATATGATATAACAAACCATTTTTCTATTTATAAAAGTATTAATATATTTAGAAAACGCTCCGACATCCGTTATAGTAGGAGCCAAAGTTTCAAAAATCAGTTCTTGGTCATCAGAATGCACAATATCTGCTAATATCTGTCAAAAATGACGTACACAAAAAATAATTAAATAAAACAAATTTTTAATGTCAATTTTAAACTACTCTATCAATGCAATCTTATACTTTTGGTCCCACTTGCAAAATATATGCTAGATTAATAACAATCCCTATAACAAACTTTTGGAGACTCGTCTGGAGCGGCCATCGACCTACAATGCAGCCAAAAGTTCGTAGCAAACTATAATAAGGCTGATCGAAGAAGTTCATAGTTCCAAGAGGTCTTTGTTACTGACTCGAGTTTTTTTCCGGTCGAAAAAATAAAAAAGCAATTGTTTAATGTTTATGTCAATACTACCCTTCGTTCGCAGAATCGAAGTGACGATGACGGACGTTTCCTGATGCTGTCAATCAAGTGTCAAAATCGCACTTTTTGTATTCAAAATGTTGCTATGGTTACTTGGGTTTTCTGTTTATTATTATTAATGGCAAAATATACAGTATTGCTTATTGATTAGCTGTTTGAATGATACAATGTTTTTTGCAGAGTCAGAAAATATTAATTTCAAAAAAACATTGCGACTGAATGAATCAATGTTCACACAGTTTGTTCAAGTGCTTATGAAAATTTTTGAACAGTATAAAATTTAGTAATTAAAAATTAATAAGTGATTAAAAATTTGGAAATTTCACCTAAAAAATCAGTAAGTTGTCATTTTATCAAAATTACTTTTAATCTTCAAAAAAATTTTGATTTATTGAGACTATAGTGCAAAAAAATTTGTTTTTTTTTTTTTTTCAATTTCAAAACCTTTAAAATTTCTACAATTAAAAACCTTCTTTTATAATCATCAAACTTACGGATTAATAATTGTTAATTGAATGTTCAATCACATAAATAAAATGACTACACAGAAAAAAAAATTAACTTGAATCAAGTAAATAATTTTGAAGAATTTTATTTCTTGAATTTGAGCAGAAAAATTCTTAAACTAAGAAATTTTTCGTGGCTTAAGTAAATTTTATTTGATTCAAGAATTTTTCTCTTGATTACGAAACACTTTTACCATTAAATTTATTCATATTCATATTCATAAAAAAACTGTATTTTATCATGTATAAAAAATTTATATAAATTAGCGCATTGAGAGAAGTACCGTGACGTATGACCCAGCCGTTTTTAGACACTGAAAAAAATCAATCTTGATGTTTATAAAAAATAAATGAAATATTTACAAATTTTACCATTCCAAAAGTTTCAATAGACAATTCCATAACTTTTCCTGCGGTTAATTTGCAAGGAATCTGACTCCTAAGTGTCATCAAAATTAGTAATTTTCTTGATCTGGCTGAATTTTCGTACCATTTTGCTCTGGCTCTATCAAAAAATAGTATTTTACACACCGAGGGAAGTAAAGTAAGAAAGCCTCAGATCACATGTTTGTCAACCTCGGCTTCGCCTCGGCCAACAATTACATGTGATCTGAGGCATTTCTTACTTTACTTCCCTAGGTGTGTAATATACTATTTATTTTGCTATAAAATGAGCATGAACTACAAAAAAAATCATTAATAAAATTATATACATGCATTGATGAATATGGTCGCTCATATCAGTCAGCCTCTGGGACATGTAGCAGTCGAAGAAAAGATGGATCATTTGAGCGAAAGTGAACATGATGTACTTGACTGTGTCTTGGATCGATTGCGATTGGGTCATGATCTGTAATAAATTCAATTTTTGATCATAGTTTTCAACTTAATTTTTTTTCAAAATGTTGAGAACTGAACCTGAACTGCAGTGATGCTCATTAAGGGCAAATTTAAGCCAACAACGATACCGAAGCATCCAGTAAAAGTAGCTTCAATAAGATCCGCGAATCTAATCAAAAACGGAACAATCAAAATAATAAATCATAAAATTTTTTGCTGGTAAAAATGATCAAAAATTACTCTAATGCTCGTCTGTGGTCTCTGATGCATGAAACAAAATGTTTGTAATGAACATCCCGTGAGTTGGTTTTAAATCTTAGTCCAGTGAGCATTTCGCTGGATAGGTCAACAGTAGGCGAATTTTCTATACGGAATCTGAAAAAAAATTTTTTTTTTTTTCAAAAAAAGTTAGTTATAAAATTTTGGTACCTTACCCAACGACTGCAAAAATCCCGCAGACATGTTGTACAAGACTGATGAATATAATATCGCAACAAATGATAACCATGATGATAAAAATTACGCAAATGCTAGAAAAGCTGAAAAGCAACCAATAATATTTTTCTTCATTAATGATTACATATTCCATTGGGACGCAAAATCTCACTGGCAATGATTCGTTGGACTTTTGAATGTGATTTACTATTATTGGTAAAATTGGGTCCATCAAAAATATAAACACCGTGACATTTACAAAAGCTAACACAAAAAGAAAAATGATCAAAATCAAAAATTAAATTAATAATAAAATGACTGTACCTGCCCAGCAGAGAGAAATGTATCGCGCTGTGAACATATGATTCTCCAAAATTGATTTTTCTTTATCATTTTTGAGGATCTTCCAATCGTCCTTCATTTTGTCGAAAAGAGTCTTCATCTAGATTTTATAACTAGTCAGAGTTTAATGTTTACTTATCAATAAAAAATAGATTAAATTTGAATTTCCAAATTGTGAAACGAACCATATTGGCTTTTTTTGTAACATTGACGTATTTTACAATAAAAATCAAATCTGTGATGAAAGGCGACAAGGACTCGAACAAAAGTTCCTCGTCGTCGTAATGCAAAGCCACGGAAACTACTTGCGGAATAACTTGCAAGATAAATAAACTCCACATTATAGATCCGAACATAATACTTTGTTTCCTAGATTGGTAGGGCCACTGACCTATGAAAGAAGCAAAGCCTTTTGTTATTATGTAGTAGGGTTCTTCGTAAATGTCCATCTTGCTGATTGTGAGCACTATTTCCGACGTTTGCCTTTTCTTAGTATTAAATCAAACATTTTACCTCATATATTTTCTTTATTATAAATTATTAAAACGACATTTGACTGATGGACGTTTTAATTCCTGTCTCCCGTCACCCCTTTTGAGGGGATGTAGTGTTTCTAAGGTAACTTCGATTTTTGCTATTTAAATTTATTGTTAAAGAAAATCTAATGATATTATATTAGTATATATTTTAGTAAGTTCTAATAATGATTTTTGATAAGACACCTAAAGGAATATTATGTTGAAGGAAAAATTTGGAAGTTAAACAAAGGTTCAAAATTTGATAAGGTTAATAATTAACTATAAATTTTTATTCATCATCAAAACATTATTAATTTAATTTCTTCAGATCACTGCATTGATAAAAGCATCGTGAAGTATGACCCAGAAGTTTTGAGCATCTGAAAAAATACATGGATCAAAAATTTGGATTTTTGAATGAAAAAACAAATTTTGAAATTTACCACTCCAAAAGTTTCGATAGACAGGCCCATTATTTTGCCGGCTGTGAGCATACAAGGCGTTTGGGATCGCATTATCATGATGATCAAAAGTTTTTGGGATTTCACGTCAATGTTATACCATTTTTGGGCAGTTCTAAAATATTTTATTTTTATATTACATTCAAAATTATTGAGTACGAAATTGGTAATTACATTTGGTCGTGAATTTGCTGGCTCATATCAGTCAGCTGTTGGGATAAGAAGCATTCAAAGAAGAGGTGGATCACTTGTCCCATGGTGAACATCAAATTTTTGATCTTCTGCTGCAGAGTGTTATCCAGAGTGATCATCTGAAAAATAATTTTTGAAAAAGTTCCAATTGTTGAGTTTTTAAAAATTTTTGCATTGCTAAAAAAATGAATCTTGTCAATAATTGAACCAAATTTTGGAAACAAACCTGAACTCCAGTAACGCTTATTAACGGCAAGTTCAATAATACTACTATTCCAAAACAGCCTGTGACAGTTCTCTCAATCATATCAACATATCTTCGGTAGCATGAAAATTGATAGATTTATTTTTGGGCATTCATAGAACTAACCAATAATTTTTTGAAATTCTAATCAGCTGAATGAAAGCTTACTTCAATTTTCTGAATCAAAATTTTCAATATCAAAAAAACATTTTTTTGAAAAGCTTACATGAAGTAGCCTTTCTTTCAGTAGAACCAAAAATATTTTGGACATACTCTAAAGCTCGGCGGTGGATTTCGATGCATGAAACCAAATGTTCGTAATGACTTTTTTTTGAGCTGAGAAAAATTTTTTTTTCTGTGTTATTTTGAAAGTGTTCATCACTTGTCAAATTTTGGATCCGATGCCTGGAACCAAAAAAATTGCACATTCAAAATAATTAACTCCTTATTTTTTAGAGGGTGATTTTTTAACATTTTGATGTAATAATAGTCTAATTATAAATTATTTGAGTGATCCAAACCAAAGTATTATACCTCTATTAGATATTGAATTATTTTTTAAAGTGATAAGAAATTTTGAACGAATTGTTTCTTCGTACAAATGGAAGATTCTCTAAAATGAAGTTAGACAATTTGCTAATTAGAACGTCGATATGTAACGAGTACTGACCCTGTAACTGCGAACAATCCGCAAGCATGATGGACCACTGTGATGAACAAGACGTCATAAGCAGTGAGTACCGTCAGAATCACCGTGATACACACACCCGAGTAACTTATCAAAATCCAGTAGTACTTTTCTCGGTCAATCACAACCCATTCCATTGGAACAGACAATTTGTGTGGCGCGGATAAATTTGTTTTGAGCATCAAATTGATTATAATCGGTACTACGGGTTCTGTTATAAACGTCACAGTAGCTAAATATACAAAACCTTTACAAAAAATTTTTTTTTACCCTTTTGTCACGAACAAACACCAATTACAAAAACTGTTTCAAAATTACCTGCATATCCAGCAGCCATTAAATTTCCCAATTCGACATACTTTTCCAAAATTAGCTTTTCTTCCCTATTAGCCACTAACTTCCAATCAGCTTTGATCCTTTCGAAAAGATTTTTTAACTAAGCATAGAAAAAATTACTTTGAAGATTCATCGAAAAGCAAAATCACAAAATTATCACACGTTAAAATTTGAACTAACCATTTTTGAATTTATCAACGAATTAACAAACACAGTAAATGATGCTATGTCGGTTAAAATTGGCGCTATTGTTTCGAGTATCAATTCTCTGTCGTCAAAATGTACTACAATAGCGGTAATCTACGAAAAATTAAATACTCATTTATCAAAAAAAAAAAACTTTATAATGGATGATAATTTGATAATTAATAAAAAAATTTTAAATTGAGCTTTTTAAGAAAGTATTGACGTGATTACTAAAATTATTTGTGTACTATTGGCCCAACTTGGAGAGTGAACGCCAAAACAATGAAGAGCCCGATCAGAAAACTTTCCAGGCGAGACTGGTACGGCCAACAACCTATCGAACGGGCAAAATTTCTTGGTAACTTATAGTACGGCTCCTCGAAGTTCATTGTCTCAAAATTTATTTCTTTATGTCATAATATAAGTTTTGTATTTCTGAAAGGATATAAAAGTATCGCTCACTGTCGATACTACGCTTTTTTTTTTCTGAGAAGCAGATGTTGACTGACGTTTGATTGACGGCTCAAATTGCTTGTCGAAATGTTACTATTTGTATTTATTTCGTTGTTATGGTAACTTTGATTTATTTTTTTTTCTATAGCTGAGAAAGAATAATACTTCTCTCCTTAAAGATTTTTTTTTTATATAAAAAATAAATATTTTAAAAATGTGCTTTTAAAAAAACTAAATTTTTTGTGATAGTGTTTTTCGCTTCAATTTTTGTATTTTTGAGACTGATATTAAATATAAATTACAGTTTTTCCAAGATTTTATATAAAAAGCAGTAAGACAAACATTTTTGAATGCATGCCAAATTTTTTGCTCTTGTCACTAACTATAAAAAAATTTCTTCTTTCAACGCATCGACATAAGCATTGTAAAGTATGAACCAGCTGTTTTGACACACTGGAAAAAAAAATAGTTTAATCATGTTAAAAAAATTAAAAAGGTATGATTAGATTTTTACCACGCCAAAACTTTCTATAGACAGATCCATGATTTTAGCCGCTGTCAATTTACAGGGAACTTGACTCCTAAGTGTCATCAAAATCAGTAACTTTCTTGATTTCGTTGAGATTTCGTACCACTTAGCTCTCGTTCTATCAAAAAATGAAGAAAATACTTTTGCAAATCAAGTAAATAATTTTGTATAATAAAGACATACATGCAATCATGGATATGGGAGCTCATATCCGTCAGTCTTTGAGACATGTAGCAGTCGAAAAAAAGATGGACCAATTGGGCGCCAGTGAACATAATGTTTTTGACAGTGTCTTGGATTGAATTTGTTTCAGCCATAATCTGGAAAATAATAATGAAATTTTTACACATTTTTGGCCAATAAGAGAAAAAAAATTAAGAACTGAACCTGGACCGCGGTGATACTCATTATTGGTAAATTTAGCCCAACGACAATTCCAAAAGATCCGGTGAAGGTAGTTTCGATCATTTCAGCGAATCTTTAACGATAGGCAATAAATTGATAATTTTTAGGAATATCGATAATGATAACTTACTCCAACGCTCGTCTGTGGTCTCTGATGCAAGTAACAAGGTGTCTGTAATGAACATCTTGATAGTTGCTGCCAAAATTTGACCCCTTGAGTATTTCGTGCGGAATGATCACATTAGGTGCATGCTCTATACGAAAACTAAGTTAAATATTTTGATGTTAGATTTTTATTTCATAGAGCTAAATGTATAAAATTATTGTTCTAGGTTACCCCACGACGGCAAATATTCCGCAAACATGTTGCACAAATGAAATAAAGAGGACATCGCAGCAAACTATTACCATGATTATAGAAATGATGCAAAAATTGGACACGCCTAAGAGGGACCAATAGTACTTTTGTTGATCACACACGACGAATTCCATCGGAACGGCGAATCTCCGCGGTAAAGTGTCATTTGATTTAGAAACTTTGTCAATTATTATCGGAAAAATTGGATCAAGTATGAACACTAAAAGCGCCAAGTTTGCAAAACCTAATTTTAACACAATATATTAATTATAACATGTTCTATGTTAAATTGAAATGTTTTTGTACCTGTATATCCAATTGATAGGTACTGGCCCATTTTCAAATGGTATTCCAGTATCAATTTTTCATGGTCGCTTCTCAGGATCCTCCAATCTTCTCTAATTTTTTCGAAAAGTCTTTTTATCTAAACCGCGAAATCACACTTTGATTGATTTATTAGTAATATTGATAATAAAGACACAACATACCAGTTCAGCTTTTAGAATAGCATTTAAATATTTAGCGGCATACGCCAAATCCATAATGAATGCAGACAACAATTCCAAAACTACATCCAGGTCTTGAAAATTATCTACCAAAGAAACCACCTGGAAAAAATTGTTAATTTAGAAAGAGTAAGTTGAATTGATGTTAATTAATATCGGATCACAACTTGTGGAACTACTTGAATGATGAACAGGTTCCACAGGAGAAACTCTAATACCAAACGCTGAAGGCGCGACTGATAAGGCCATTGACCGATAAAAGAAGCGAAGCTTTTAGTTATTTTGTAGTAGGGTCGCTCGTAGATATCCATTGTATTGAAAACTTTATCTTCACATTTAGACTTCAAGCTGTCATTCAAAAATAATACTTCTCTACATTTAGTTTGGTTGTTTTACTTCCTGGTAAGATTTTGAATGACATTGACGGACGGCTTAATTGCTTCGTTTAATTCAATTTCGAAATATGTTCGAGGAAAGGGTTGCCATGGCGACGATCGATACTTCATTACAAGATAACAGTGTTTTGTTAAATATAACCAAGCGTTCGAAAAAGTCTTTTTGAAGAGTGTAAGGGCTTTTTAAAGAGTCAATACATCGAAGGTAAGGTTACTTACTTTAGATTTTTATTAGATTCTTACAATAATTAAAAATCAAGTTAAGAAAGTGAATGATGTCTGCAAGGACTGGAGCGGTCAGACAAAAATACTTAACAACTACTATATTCTTATTCAATATACATAAAAAACATATTTCACACCACAGATATAACTAAAAATTTACTATTGCATAGATAGAAGCATTGTAAAATATGATCCGCTTGTTTTCACCTAAAAAGAATAAAAAATTATTTACATTTACTAAGTTTTGGTTTATGTAGTGTAATCGACGATTACAAAAGTTATATTTGACATCCTGAATTTACCATCTGCAAAGTGAAATTAATTAGAAATAATAATAATTATTTTTGAAAAGTTTTAATTTTAATGATTACATTTCCAAAATTTTCAATAGATAACTCCATGATTTTAGCTGCAGTGACTTTGCAGGGCACTTGGCTTCTCATCAACATCAAAAGTAGTATTTTTTGTGATTCTTTTGAATTTTTGTACCATTTCACATTGGATCTGTGTGCAGAAGATTCTGTTAATATATTAGAAGAGCGAAATTACAGAAAAAATTACAGAAGCTCAAAAAATTTTTTAATATAACTATAATTTTTTGAACACTCCAATTACGAGAAAGTTTAGCGACCATGCGCCACCTATCGGATATTCCAGGTACTATTTTTCAAAATTATGCCTTTAGGAATTATATTTGCTATAAATTAATAAAATAATCGTAAAATTGTAGATATTTTGATTGTGACTAATAATTAAAATCAAAACACATTTCTAAAACAATTTTATTGTGCCTCATATTTTTCTTAATTGGAATTTATTAAAAGATTTTCCGTACATGCACTGTTGAATTTCAATGCTCATATCTGTCAGATTCTGCGAAAGAAAACAGTCGAAAAATAGGTGCATCATTTGCGCAGCAGCAAACAAAGCAAACTTGATTGTTTGTTCCACTGTATTAGATTGAGTAATCAGCTGTAAGCAAAATTTTTTTACTATTTATCATAATTTATTGTGATATGATATTAAAAACTGTACCTGCAAGCCAGTTATGCTCATGAGTGGCAAATTTAACGCGACTACAACTCCAAAACTCTGCGTAAAAGTTTCTTCAAGAATGTCAGCTAAGCTGTAAAAAAAAATCTTACATTTTTGAAGAAATTGAACAGTTTAATCGAAAATATTTTGCAATTCTCATACTAAAGAGCTCTCTTGTGAATCCTAATACATGAAACCAAGTGTTTGTAAGTAGGATCCTGCAAATTCGATTTAACGCTTACTCCATACTTGTCTTTCAGCCTTGCTCCACCAGTAGGTGAACTTTCTATCCTAAATCTATTTTATTAGTTATCAAAAAGAAAAAATGGTTAATGCTCTTCAGCGATTAAGAATAAGCAAAAGGATATAGCTGGATATGCATCGTAAATTAGCCCCCGTGAAACTTTCCAATAGAAAATTCCATGGGAGCCGATTCATCATGCTTATCCGGCTATACCCTTTAGAACACACCCTATAACTGCAAATATCCCACAAACATGTTGAATGCAAGTTATGAAAATAACGTCGCAAGATATTATGACAACAATAATGTTGACAGCGAAAATATTAGTGATAGTAAGCATCGGCCAATAGTGATCTTCCTTTTCGAAGAAAATGTATTCTAATGGAAGAGCAAATTTCAGTGGAACTGTCTCATTAGATTTAATAATTTTGTTGACAATCCTCGGCAAAACTGGTTCCATGACAAACATACCCGTCGTCGTAAAAGCAAATCCTGTATAACACATTTTGATCATCATAATATGATAAAGGATATTATCCTTTTGAGATAAAAATTTTCTAAGCTCCTACCTGCGTAAACAGAAGCCAATAGTCGTCCAATGTCAGTGTGATACTGAAGGATGCGTTTTTCCTCTTCGTTTTTCAACAATTTCCAATCCTCTCTCATTAGCTCGAACAAATGCTTAATCTAAAAGTCGTAACTAATTAATTATTAGTATAAATACTCACAATTGTGATAATGATAAATTGAAGATCAGTCCAACTTTACACAAAAATTTTTTTCAACTGACACTCAATTTAAAGAAAAAACTGACGAACCGTTTCTGCGTTATAGATGAGGTTTATATATTTTATCGCCATCACAATGTCCATCGCATAAGCCGGTAGGCACTCGAGTAAAATCGCTCGGTTATCATAATGCTTGATAATCGCTATGGTCTAAAAATGGTTGATATTAAACCTTTAAGACTAATAAAAATGATAAATAAATCCGTGAATTTAAAATAGTTGATACTTGAGGGATCGCTTGCAGAATGAAGGCAGTCCAGATAACAACGAGTATTACTACGCTCTGAAAGGGAGACTGATAAGGCCATCGACCTATGAGAATTGCAAAGTTCTTAGTTGTCCTGTAGTGGGGTTGATCGTATAAATCCATTGTTCTTGTACTTCTGACTCACAATCCATTGTCTTACCTTTGTATTGCATTTAGCTTAATGAATTTTTCACCTCAATTATCTTTAGCGAAAAATTTTATGATTGACGTTGACGGACAGCTTAATTTATGTTTTCAATCACGAGTCAATGTATCCCCGTTTGTGGGTATACCGTTGCTACGGTTACTCCAACGATTTTATATCTTAATACCAATATCGGTTATTTTTAAGCAATTTTTAACTATGCACCCCTTTTGTTAAGCCGAAGGCAAAATTTAATTCTATTCAACGCTGGGTTGCGTGTTTAGTTACTGCAATTTTGAATTGTCAAGAAATACAAGTGTGCTAGGATAAATAGATCGAGAAATTCAAATTTTCATAAAACTTTCTTTAATTACGACTTTTAACAATATTCTTACGGATCTCTGGTTATTAAAAATACTGATTGAAAAGAATTAAGAAGCACTTCATGCAAACTGTATATCTATATATACAAACAAAAGAATTGAAATTAGTGAAAAAAATTCGAATTTCATTTTTCATTCTTTTCAATCAATATTTTTAAACAGGGATAAGACTTGAATATTTTTTGAAATTATCCCATTGACATAAGCATTGTGAAATAAGACCCGCTAGTTTTCACCTGAAATTAAAAATATACAGTTACACTATTTTTTATATGCTTATATCTACGAAAGTGCCACTGTTTGTCAATTTTGAGGTTTTACCATCTGAAAAATAAAAAAGAAGGTTTGTAATAATAGTAATTGTTTTTTTGAAAATATAATTACATTTCCAAAATTTTCGATAGACAGCTCCATTATTTTAGCAGCAGTTACTTTACAAGGAATTTGGCTCCTCATTGTCATTAAAATCAGCAATTTTTGTGATTCGATTGAGAGGTCATAATATTTCACATTAGCTCTGTGTGAAAAATTCTCCTCGTTATTATTATAAATATGAGAATTGATGAGGCTCAAAAAATTCTCAAAAGAAAATTTAATTAATTCAATATTTTTAAATAAAAAAATTTGGGATTTTTAGTTGATGCCAAAGCGAATTTTGTGCACAAAAAATTTTTTTTTCATCTATTAGACAATTTTGGAATTTTGGAATTTTTGAATAATTTTTTCTTAAAACTAAATTCAAAAACTTCTGCAAATTTTTAAAAAATTTATCAAGCCTCTTTTCATTTCTTAAAATGAATAAATATTTTTTTAATTGTATTACATACATGCATTTTTGAATTCTGACACTTTTATCCGTCAAATTTTGTGACATGAAGCAATCAAAGTACAGATGGAGCATTTGGGCAAAAGCAAAAGACAGGTATTTCAAAATTTGCTGTACAGTATTCGACTGCGTAATGATCTATAAATAAAATAAAGACTCCAAGCTTATTTTAATGAAAATTTATTTATAGCTTTTTCAAAAAAGTCACCTGCATTGCAGTGACGCTCATCATCGGCAAGTTCAATGCAACAACCACACCGAAGCTCTTAGAAAAAGTATCTTCAAGAAGATCAGCAAATCTGCAATCAATAAAATTGTTAATAATAAATTAAAAATCAAAAATATTAAATTGGATATTAAAATATACTCGAGAGCTCTCCTGTGGCTCCTGATGCATGAAACCAAGTGCTTGTAAGAAGCATCTGAGGAAATTTTTCCTTTCGCTTCTTCTTTTACAACTTTTTCCAATGGTGTGCTTTCTATTTGAAATCTATTTAAAGTAGAAATTTATTAGCTTGTAAACGGAAGTTAAATTTTGGAAAATTTTAATTTACCCTACAACTGCGAATAGTCCACAGACGTGTTGCACGCAGGTGATGAAAACAACGTCGCACATAATTATCACAATTATCATGTTAATGGCGAATAAGTTGGTAATTGTAAACATCAGCCAATAGTAGTTTTCTTTTTCGAAGATTACGTACTCCACTGGAAGGGCGAATCTTAGCGGATATGTAGCATTTGATTTTGTTATTTCATTAACGATCCGCGGAATTATTGGCTCCGCGATGAAGATGGCCGTCGTTACAGCAGCAAAGGCTTGGTATAAATTTTTTGTAAGTATGTAAAAATTTTTTCTTACACAATAAAAAATTTTGCATTATTGCGTCAAAAAATTTAGTATTAAAAATTTTTGTGTTAAATATTTAACACTTTTATGTGTAAATTTAACATTTATTCTGTTAAAAATATTTAATCTAAAAATTTTTAATACAAAATTTTTCGACGCAAAATTTTTTACTGTGTAGCTATTCGTATAAAAAATTTTAATTTCTTATTTTTATGGCAAAAAGCCTTTTTACTGTTGTGTAGACTCAAATTTTAAACTAAACAAAAATGTATTCCCAATTTTTGCATGTCTCATAACGCGAAGCGTTTACTTAGTAATGCTTTACTCTCATTCTTTCAAGGTCAAGCAATTATCTCGGCTTAATTTTGAGATATTCAGAAGAAAATTTTTTTCAAAAATTAAATCTAAAAAGTTTTTGTTGAATTTTTGGAAAAATTTATTTTTAAAATTATTGTTAGTCATTTTATTTTATTTGTCAATTAACGAGCACATTTTTTGCTTCACACAGAAAAAAAAATTAGCTTAAATTAAGGAAATAATTTTGAAGAACTTCGTCTTCTTGATTTGAGTAAAAAAAATTCTTAAACTAAGAAATTTTTCTTGGCTTAAGTAAATTTTATTTGATTCAAAAATTTTTCGTCTTGATTTAAAGTAATATCAAAATTATTTTCTTAGCTCAATAATTATTCTCTTGATTAAAGTTAATTTTTTTTCAATGCACATATAAGTTATAACTTTGCACAGTAAAATATTTTAAGATAAATTTATCTAATTACCTGAATATCCAGTTGATATAAGTCTTCCAATATTAGCATGATGAGTCAAAATTCGTTTTTCTTCATCATTATGGAGCAAAGTCCAATCCATTTTTATTTTATCAAAACAAATTTTCATCTAAATATATAATACCTAATTTCAGAATTTAATACTGCAAAAAAAAAAAAAACAAAAACTTTTACTTAAAAACGAACCAATTTTGCACTGTAACTTGCGTTCATATATTTAGCAACAAACATGATGTCTATTATATAGGGCGCCATGGCTTCTAGCAGGATTTCTCGATCGTGAAAATGCAAGATAATAGCTAGGGTCTGAAAGGCGTTCTACGTAAATAAGTATTACTTGACCAAGTTGAGTGCTACTCTTACTTGCGGGACCGCTTGCAAAGTAAAAGCAGTCCATATTATAGCGACTAGAATAAAACTCTGGCCGTAAGTCTGATACGGCCAGCGGCCTGTCACAATAGAAAGACTTTTAGCCAGTTTGTAGTTAGGCTCGTCGTATATCGACATTGTTCTGAGAGTGTAAGTCTCACGCATCCACTATTTTCGTTCAATTACCATTTAATGATGCATCGTATTCTTGCACCTCAATTACTTTCCGCCGGAGAAGTCTATTGACGTTGACGGACGGGTTAATTGACGCGTGCAATTTAATTACTGGCTTACTTTTGCGTGTGAGGGTAATTACAATTAAACTAGAGGCAGAATACACACTCGGTTTAATTAATATTCTATCGGCAATTATCAGTAACACACGCTACCTTTACCTCTACCTCTAACTTTAGTTTTCTTTGTTTCATATTTTGAGGGTTTACTTCGTCTTGTAATTAAGTAGAGTATTTTATTAATTGCGCAAGTGTGATGTGAAAATAACTGATATTTTACAAAAATCTTACAACAAAATAAAATTTAATTGTGTTATCTCTTAACTCTATTTTATTAAATTAATTAATTAAGGCTTAGAAAAAATTTTTTTATTGATCAAATCAATTAATTTAGGCTTGTAAAATTTTTTTTGTGTCAATTCATAAAAAAATATACTTTGAAAATTTTTTTATTAATTAATTAATTAATTAAAGCTTAGAAAAATTTTTTTTATTGATCAAATCAATTAATTTGGGCTTGTGAAATTTTTTTTATTAAAAAAAAATTAAATATTAGCCTATTAAATATATTTTTTTTCTTAAATTTGCAAAAATGTCACGCTCAATTAATAAAAAAAAAAAAAATAAAAATTATACTTTAAAAATTTTTTTATTAATTACTAAAATACTAACAATTTTTTTTTAATTAAAATGAACTATTTTTATCACAGTCGACTATCTACTTTGCAAAGAATATTACCAATAAAATCAGTCTATTGCATAGATAACAACATCGTGAAGTAAGAACCACAAGTTTTCATCATCTGCAAAAAAAGAAGTATTCAAAAATTTACTGACATTTTTAATATAAAAAATATACCATTCCAAAATTCTCTATAGACAGCTCCATAATCTTAGCAGCGGTCAATTTGCAGGGCGCTTGACTGTTCATAGTCATTAAAATCAGCAACTTTTGGGCCTTGGTTGAAATATGGTACCACTTAACGTCCGCTCTAGATCAAAATTACATTAATTTTAGGTCCTTAATGTAAATTTTTGGGAATACTATAAACTACAAGGACATTCTCTGATCGATTTATTGACACGAATGCCTTCGCTCCGCCCACTGACAACCGAACCAGGAATTTATATAGGAAGGGCAGACAGGCAGCGCGCCAGTAACTTTCTGTCGGGCAGTGAGTTCGCATCGAAATCGAGCTTGTATTGTTATTTTTTTTTTTTTAATTTTTAATCAAAAAGTTTTCTTACAAAAAAGCCGATTTTTTATATACTATAATTAAGTGATAATTATTTAGTTTGATATTTAATTTCCAAATTTTTACGGATATTTACGGTGTGTGGAATTTTATAATAAGTAATTTTGTTCTCCAAAATTAACTGGATATTTACATGCAATTTTGGATCTGTGAGCTCGTATCAGTCAGCTGTTGTGACAGAAAACACAAGAAAAAAAGATGCATCACTACGGAGAGTGTAAACGATAGATATTTTAACAATTGTTCCACTGTATTGGATTGTGTGATAATCTGAAATTGTAAATTCATTTAATTACGCGGATTTTTTTTAAGTTATTTACAATCACCTTTACCTGTAATCCAGTCACACTTATAACTGGTAGATTCAATCCGACCAAAATTCCAAAACTTACCGTATAAGCATACTCAAGACGTTCGGCAAATCTTAAAATACAACAAAAATCTCAAAATTTCAATTTTGTACACTGAAAAAAAAATTAATTTGACTTGAAAGAAATAATATTGAATCAGAAAAATTATTTTGAAAAGCTTTATTGTTTTTATTTAAGTAAAAAATTCTTCAAAATAATTTTCTTGGTTCAAAATTTTTTCTCTTGAATCAAATAAATTTTTTTTTCAGTCTAACAAATAATTAGACTTAAAAATCAGAATCTATACTCTAAAGCTCGTCTGTGTCCTCTGATGCAAGACACCAAATGCCTATAAGGAATGTCCATTGAATTCGGTAAAGGTTTGACAATTCCGCGCTTTATTGATGCATCGACGGGTGAATTTTTTAGCCGAGACCTGTCAAAATATTTAATCTGTAAATTTTACCTTTTTGAACAAATTATAGAAATTTGGAACAAAAATGGTATTAGCTGTTACCCGACTACTGCGAACAATCCACAAGCGTGGGTGACGAATGTGATCAGTGTAATATCGCACGATATTACAGTAACAATGATATTCATTACAAATATATTTGAAATGGTAAACATTACCGGGTAGTGCTTCTCTTTATCAATTATGATGTACTCTAATGGCAAAGAAAATTTTGGTGAAATAGTATCATTGGTTTCTGTGAACAAACTTATAATCCGTGGAAGAACCGGTTCCGTTACGAAAATCATCACTGATATATATCCTATGCCTTGATGTCAAATTACAGTCAAAATTTTTTATAGTTAAAAAAAATTTTCTTTTTCTTTCGTTAATTAACTTTTGATAAAGGCGTGTAATTAGTACCTGCGTAACTTGCTGATAATAAATATCCAAGATTTGCGTGATCTTGCATAGAAGCTATTTCTGAATTGTGTGATAAGCCACTCCAGTCATGTCTCATACTGTCAAATAATTCTTTTACCTAAATTTGAGAATTTAATTTATTATTTGTTGACAAAATTTTAACACCAAAAAAATTTCTAAAAAATTTTGGACAAAATCTTAACACTTAAAAAAGTTTTAAAAGATTTTGAAAAAAATTTAAATAAAAAAAAAATTTTTGATAAAATTTTAAGACAAAAAAAAGCTCTAAAAAATTTTGACAGAAAAAATTTTTAAGAAAATTTTGACATTAAAAAAAAATTGAAACATTTTAAAATTAATCCTTACACAACAAAATAAAATTTCCGTCAAATAACACTTGCACGAAAAATTTGAAAATGTAAAAATTAAAAATGATTAACATACCAAATCTGATTTTTGAATAGTATTATAATATTTAATAATGAAGGCAAGATCTATAACAAACGACGAAAAAGCTTCAAACAATACGGCCCAGTCATCACGATGCACCACCATCGCTATAATCTACAACGTTATTAATGAAAATCAAATTTTTAGTTACGAGCTGTTAGACTATATACTTGTGGGATGGCTTGTAAGAAAAAAGCAACCCATATAATAGTTATTAATACAAGACTTTTCCATGAAGACTGGTACGGCCATTGACCTATCAGCTGGCAAGAGGTCTTCATTATTTTATAGCAGGGTTTTTGATAAACATCCATTGTTACGAGAACTCTGTCTGAGTTATTATATTACATATTATATTAAGTGATTATTTTTACCTCGTGGTTTCCCTTGGTATTATTCATTTAAATGACAGTGACAGGCATTTTGATTTATTTCTTACGCTCATGTCATAATTTCCGCCTTTGTAGACACAGTGTTGCCGAGGAAACTTCGATTTTTTGATAACTACGACATACTGCTTGTCAAAATGACTTTATGATATGAATTTTTGATTATTTCATAATATACAGTTCGTTGATCTCAAAGTTGTGTTTTTACAGTTGCTTACAGTATAAATTGCATTTATTTAGTACAAAATAATTGTAAAAGGGAAAAGGAATAAAATTTGGTTTTTTTGGAAAATTTGGAATTATTAATTATTTTTTGTAAGTTATTAAAAATTTTGCAATTAATTTTTTAATTAAATTTTATACGGACGATTTATTTAAATTTCTTTTTTATAAAAATAAAGAATCTTTTAGATTTTCCCTTAAAATTTTATTGCAAACAGTGATTTATTCTTCTTGAACAGAAGTAAGTAGTGTAAAGTACGACATGGTTGTTTTCAAAATCTAAATAATTATATCAATAATTAAAAGTGGTTAATTTAAAATGTATATCGAGTCAAAATACTGAAGTTTGATGATCAAATTTTAACTTAACCTTACCATTCCAAAAGTTTCCATCGACATAATAACCATTTTTCCGGCTGAAATAGAACATGTTACGCGGCTCCTCATGATCATGAAGCTTATCAGTTTTCGAGATCGAATAGATAGTCTGTACCATTTTATCATCGCTCTATAAAATTTATTATTAGTGTAAAATAGAGTATTGTTATTTTAGCAAAAAAAAAAAAAGATGTAACATAATTACATCGCGTCATGAAATCCTTCGCTGTAGTCAATCAGTTGCTGCGAAATAGCGTTTTCGACAAAAACATGAACTAATTGACCAAAGGCGAATGGACCCCAACGAAATAGTTCATCAATGTTACCCATTTGAGAAACTAACTAATTTACAAAAAAAAAAATTATTATTATTGAATCGGCTTCATGCCTTATCACATGTGAAAAAATTTTTAGTATTGCTAAATGTGATCCGATTCGGTCAAAAATCGTTATATCAAGCTATATAAAGGTGTAAAAAAATAATTTTTTTCAATTTTGTACGTCAATTATAATGTTCTATTAAACAAAAATTGGGTTTATCCTCTGCAATAAAATAGTAGAACGTGGACGTATCACAATATCGAAGCATTATCGAGTAATTATAAAAAAATTTAGTTATAGGGCGCGCGAAAGCGCGCTATTGAAAATTTCTAGTTGATTTAAATAAGAACTAATATAAGAAAAAAGCTCCATAGAAGGTAAAAAAAATTATCTTTAATTTAGAACTTCATGTCTTGAATTTAATTCTCTTATTAGGAGACGATTTAGCGACCATGCGCCACCTGTTGGAAATTTTTAATACCAATTTCAATCCAAAAATTATATATGAGCTTTTATGAACATAACAGATCGATTATGGGTATAGTAAGTCATATTAAGACATAAAAAGCATAATAAGGCATGAAAATATTTTAATTGTTATATATCAGCATTTATTAAAAATAATTAAATATTATTATTATTAATCATTAATAATTTTCAATAAGTGTGTATAATTTTTCAAAAATGTTTACCTGTACACCAGAAAATGTCATAAGTAATGTTTCAAGGCCTACACTTATGAAAAATATCCAGCAGTAGATATTTTCAAGCAGCTCTGTAAACCTGCTCCGGAACCAAAATTTCATTATTTTGGTTCAAAAGTTCAAATTTTCAAAAAAAAACTCACTTGATCGCTTCATTATGCTTTCTGATGCAACTGGCAATAATCCAAAATTCCTCATCGTCCCTTTTGCTTGGATACAACTGGATGTTCAAATTATTCGAGACTGACAATTGTTTCAACCGGTGACTAAGAACAAACAGAAGAATTATTCAAAATTTGCATAATTACTTTGCTGAAATAAAACTTGTACCTTATTACTGTAAAAACTCCACAGACATGCTGCACAAAAACGATAAAAAACGTATCTGCGGCGATAATTAGTGTTATAACAAGCGCCGAGCAAAAGGATATATGCGCTTCAATAACGTAGAAATACTTATCCTGATCGACGCCATAATTAACGGGGTATGGAAATGCGAAATCAGCAGGACCTTTGGACAATCCTAGCCAGGTCATCATTTTTGGTCTTACTGGTAATAAGAGGAACACCATCAACGAATTGTAGTACAATACTGAAAATTTTAAGAATTGGAGACTTTGTTGGGTGATGACAAAAAAGAAGAAAGTTAAAAAGGAGCAACTTGATATGAAAAGTGTAAGTAAGCGTCCATGCTCGACGTGTTTCTTCATGATGTCATGTTCAACTTCTGATTTCAATGATGTCCAGTCTTGGTGCATGATTTTCATCAGGTCGATAATCTGATAAACATTATTAAATAAAATTTTAATAATAATTTCGTTTATTATTTTAATAATAAAAATTAAAATTAATAAAAAATTTGTAATTTTGATTTTCAAAATTTTTCATACCTTATTATTGTTAATTGTACTAATTATCATTTTAGCGCCTGCAATAATTGCTACCGTAAATGGCGGAATAGTTGACATCAATGTTTCCAGCCCAAAATCAGTTATGCAAACACAAATCTAAGTAATTGTAATTAGAATTATCAGTACAGTAAATAGTTGCAAAATAATTGAAAAAAAAAATTACAAAAGTTACTTGAGGTATCATTTGAGTCGTGATAAAAAAATACCAAAGAAATCGCAAAAATTTTCCCTCAAACTTAGATTGAAGCGGCCACAGCCCGACCATTCTCAAAGTTAGAGCAGTTATTTTGTAGGCGGGTTGCTTGAAAAAATCAGATATTACTTCTGTAGAGCTCATTGTACCACCCCGAACAACTTCTGATTCGCGAGTGCTCTATTTGCGCAGGTTTAAATAAAAAATTGCCATTTCCTTCGTTTCATTTTTTGCAGAGAAAAAAATAATTATTTATTCACGCACTTGAGGGAAAAAATATCGCTTCTACGTCACCTGTTCTTTTAAATACTTGACAAGGAAGTCATTTATATTTATACACACATTAAAGTAAAAAAATTATGAGGGTTTTTATTATTTCCTTGATAAAGAAGGGGTGTTTTATAAATACTTTGGTTTAATTGACGTGACATTTAATGTCTTACCTCGCTTTTTTATAAATCTCTTGTGTCAAGTCAGAAATATTAAGAGTTTTTTTTTTTTTTCTTCAATTTTCAAGCTGTCAGGTTGATTTTTATTCGAAAAATTAAAAGTGATCGTTAAAATATACACTGCACTGTATATCTTATAAGATTTTTTTTCATAAAAAAATTCAAACATGTTTTTAAAAATATATTTAAAGTGTCACAAAAATTCTGTTGAAATTTTAACATTTTATATTGAATAAATTTAATTTTTTTTTTTTAAGAAAGTGAAGACTTAAAAAAATTTTATTAATTATCAAAATTAAATTATTAAATGTTTGGATTAGAATAAAATTTTTTTACGGGGTAAAAAAATCTAAAGTAACTTTCAACAGAGTAACTATTTATTAGATAAAAAAAAATTTCATTTAATTAAAAGACAACAGAACTGTGAAATATGACATTGAAGTTTTTACAACAGCAGAAAAATTTTCCAATGACAATAGATAAATTTTTCCACCGGTTAATTTGCAAGGCTTATTACTTCTTATTATCATCATGTGTAGTAAGTTTTTTGAATTTTTTCCAGCACGGTACCAATTTCCAGCAAAGCTACATTATAATACAATATTAATTCAACTGGTGTATGATATTGACGTTTTAATTAGCAAACTGTTTAATTTAATTTTAAAAAGTTCTTTATTTATAAAAAAAAGACATTAGATCAAAAAAAAATTTATTAAATTATAAAAAATTGTTATTTTATTTTTTTCATATATTTCCCTGGTGGAAAATTTCCCAAAGGAAAAAATATGTAACAAGACAATTTGCTAATTACAACTTCGATAGAGATTTTTCTAGACAAAAATACGTACATAGCATCACTCATTTGCCAGCTGCTGTCATACAGCAATTGAGCGGGATAACTATTGAAAAAAATATGGGTCACTTGTGACAAAGTGAAGACTCCGAATCTGACCGCTTCAGTAGGTTGGTCCAGTTTTAAAACCGTCTGAACAAACATACATAAGAAAAATTCAAAAAATTTAAATAATTTTCTGATTAAAGAGTTTGCTAACCTGGACGCCGGTAATGCTGATCGCTGCCATGTTCACGAAGAGGACAAAGAAAAAGTATGTTACACGCGAAGACTCTAAAAGATCAGCGAAGCTTAAATAATAATTATTCATTACAAAAATGTATAGCGAAAATCAAAAACTGATAAATTTCTTAGTAACTAACTCAAGTGCTCTTCTGTGAAGAATTGCGCAATCCACCACCATTTTGTAGGTCGTTGCTTTTATCTGTTTATCATTCTTGAGGTTAGCTTCGTCATCTCTTATTACCATATGCTCCAATCTATATCTAAGATCATTATACAATTATATTCTTTAAAATTTATTTGTGATTAATAATTGTATATTTATTTATTTATTTATTTATTTATTTATTTATTGAATAAAGGAAAATTTTTTGACCTTAACACTGCAAAAATTCCACAGCCATGCAAAACTTGAACGACATACTCCGAGTCGAATGCAATCAATATGGAGACAGCGATTGTACAGGTAATGTATGCGTGGATCAAAACTGGAAAGTAATACTTGTGTTGATCAATAAAATATTCGGCTTCAAGTAAATACAACTCCGGTCTTGAGGCGTTTAATGGTGCTAATATATCCAGTATTTTCGGCAAAATTGGCATGCAAAAATATATTAACGTCGTGATATACATATAAGCTGAAAAAATATAAAGAATGTAAGGAATAATTTTTTTAAAAAGATAAAAATCTTACTTGCGTAAAATTTAGTAAGTTTTCGGCCGTCTTCGGCATAATTTCCCAAAATTTCAAACTCTTTTTTTGTGAACTCGAGCTTCCAGTCGTTCTGAATCCTGTCAAACAATTGACGCATCTGTACTTCACACAATAATCAAGCTCCATGTTGTTTTTTGTTTTCACTATTTTTTTAGAAATTTTTATTGAATGTTTAGTACCTTGTGGAAATTCATAAACCCATTGGCCACTTTAACAAAATTAACGGCGTCGAGGAGCAACAATGGCACGCACTGAATGATCAAATCTAAATTTCCCCAAACTTTTATAAGTTTTATTATCTGGAAATAAAAAATTGACTACTGTAATAAAAGGAATAAATTTATTACTGCAAAAAAATTTATTTATTGACGTAATACCTTGGGAATAATAATACTGACGCTCAAAAAATAAATAATACTGCGTAAGACTCGTCGCTGAGTCGAAGTTTGGTAAGGCCACTCGCCCAAACATGACAATAAAACTTTATTTAATCGACAATATGAACTTGCTAGGTAATTCATCGTATGCAACAGTCTTCCTTTGTTGGATCATAATAAAACGTTCGCAGACGCTTGCGTACAGTAATAATAAAATATTACATTGGAACTATATCTCTGACCAAATGTTCAAAGGGAATATCAATGACCAGAACTTCAATGTGGCTAAATGGTTCTGAATTTTTAATGTGGCTTTGTGATACCATGAAAATACATGCGATATTGCGTGTCTTTAAAGATTTCTTCGCTTGAAAAACATTTTAGATTTAACATCCGTGATAAATTCATTGTAAGGACAAATATGTTCTAAGAAATTCAATTTAAAATAGTGTTATTTATTATTTTTTGAAAAATTTTTAGTATTTAATGTGAAAGATTTTACAAACTCCAAAACAATTGTTTTGAAAATTTTTATAAAAATACATATTCTTTTGGAGAATAAATCATCTTCGATCTATAAAAAAAAAAAAACTATGAAAGAATATTGTCGAAAACATTTAAGTTTCTGAAACTGCCCTAAGATTTTCTATACGATTATTAATTTTTAAATATCCATAGATACGGCAGATTAAAGGTTCATTTTCCATTGGAAAAGGAATATAAGTACTAAGAAAAATTTTAAACGTTAAATTGAAAATGGATTAACAGGCTACAAAAATGTTTTAACTAAAAAAATCTTAAAAATAGAATCTTGGAACAGCGGAAAAAGCTTTCCATCGACATTGTATCGTAGTATATTGTTCTCTTGTTATAATTACTAATAATTTTTATAATTGTTTTGATGCATTATACTATTTTCTAGAATAGCTTAAAAGTTATTATTTATTATGGTCAAATTAATTAATCAATGACTTTGAAGGAAGTTTATGCTACGTAACGGCAAAAGTAAGTCATATATTACACAGAAAAAAAGAATTATTTGTCTCAATTAAATCAATTTATTTGAGTCATTTTTTTAAATGTTTCTTTGTGACAACCATATATATTTGGTACAAGTAAATATAACAGTTGACTCGAATTATTTTATTATTTGTCAGAAATATATCATTTATTAGTGGTAAAGATGCTAAGTTTATGGTAAACAACGGCATCTTTGAGGGTACCAGTCAAATGTTGAATTCTCAACTACTGCGCGCGCATATTCTTCGGACGTCACCCGAACTGACTCTCAAGTGACCGCCATGTTCATTAAAAACGTTTGTTGTTTTTTTTTTTATAACAGTGCGTATTATTGTATGAATTCTCAATTTTCAATTTTAAATAATTCATAATAGTGATCGAAGCGATGGAACAATTGTTAATTAATTGTTTAACTGATGGTTTAAATGATCATTTAAAAGGATACATAGTAATATTACCTGATAAAAATACAACTGAAAAAATTTTAATTTTCAATATTAATAATTGTCTTCGTCCAATAAAAGTGCATGTTACAGCTGAAAACAACCATATTATATCTAAAGGTGATTTGAATTTTTAATTGTATTTCTGTTTTAATAAAATAAATTTTAAATTTTTTATTCTATAGGAGCGCATTCTTTTTTTCTGTGTATATTGTATTATCTGTTGATAAAGTCATTAAATATTAATTGCTAGTGTTTGGAGCGCAAAGTGAATTATATTTACTAAATTGCGGTTTTATAGTAGTGGTAAGGTGCTCCTGCTCGGTAAAAAAAATTAGGAAAACCATTGACCCTGAAGGCCATCCCTGCAACTTCCCGTTAATTTCATACCTGGACGCTTAAAATGGCACTTATGCCGTTTTTGAGCTCTTCGAGCTCAAAAATACATTTTATGTGTTGTTTTGAGCTCTCCGAGCTCAAAGAGATACGTTTTGTATGCTTTTGAGCTCTTCGAGCTCAAAAGTCTGATAAAAGTTTAATGAACCACTATTTTTTGAATTTTCAAACCGCAATAACTTTTGAATGAATGAACCGATTTTCAAGCGATTGGCGGGATTCAACGCAGTTTTTTAAGCTTCATGAAGAATTTTTAAGTTTGAACTGATCAAACTAGAAATTTTGAAGTAATTCCGAAAAAAACACTTTTTTGGATTTTTTTTCGACAGCGATAACTCACGAACAAATCAACTGATTTTGACCGGGCTGGCGGCGATCGATGCGGTTTTTTGATATTAGACGCTGATTGGTTTTTGGGATCGATCGGTAAAGTTGTTTCAAAGTTATTCCAAAAAAAAAACACATTTAAGAAAAATTTGTTTTATAGTTTTTTTGAGATTTCTCCAAATTTACCGATTCGAATCGGTCCAAATTATATTCAAAATCTAAGTTTGTTCAAGTCCTTTCGAATGGCGCCAACCACGATGAAATCAGTCAAGCTGTTCAAAAGTTATTAGAGGGTCAGATATATATGTATACACACACACAGACACACATACAGAAAAAGATATACGGACATCATGGCGGAAACATTCGGGGAAGCTTTCTAAGACCTCAAAACGTCGAAATATGATGGGAACTCGATTTTCAAAAAACGGGGGTAAAACCAATAACTTCCTGATTTTTTTTAATTTCCAATTTTCTTAGCAGAAGTTAAAAAAAAAAATTCCGTTTAACGAAAAGACAACAAAACTGTGAAATACGACATTGAGGTTTTTACAACAGCGGAAAAATTTTCCAATGACATCAGATAAATTTTTCCAGCGGTTAATTTGCAAGGCTTACGACTTCTTATTATCATCATGTGTAGTAAATTTTTTGAATTACGTCCAGCACGGTACCAATTTCCAGCGAAACTACAATATAATACAGTATTAATTCAACTGGCGTATGATATTGACGTTTTAATTAGCAAACTGTTTAATGTTATTTTAAAAAGTTATTTATTTATAAAAAAAGACATTAGATCAAAAAAAAATTTATTAAATTACAATAAATTGTTATTTTATTTTTTTTATATATTGCCCTGGTGGAAAATTTCCCAAAGGAAAAAAATATGTAACCAAACAATTCGCTAATTACAACTTCGATAAAGATTTTTCTAGACAAAAATACGTACATAGCATCACTCATTTGCCAGCTGTTGTCATACAGCATTTGAGCGGGATAACTACTGTAAAAAATATGGGTCACTTGTGCCAAAGTATAGACTCCGAATCTGACCGCTTCAGTAGGTTGGTCCAGTTTTAAAACCGTCTGAACAAACATAGATAAGAAAAATTCAAAACATTTGAATAATTTTCTTATTAAAGAGCTTGCTAACCTGGACGCCAGTAATGCTGATCGCTGCAATGTTCACGAAGAGGACAAAGAAAAAGTATGTTACACGCGAAGACTCTAAAAGATCAGCGAAGCTTAAATAATAATTATTCATTAAAAAAATGTATAGCGAAAATCAAAAACTGATAAATTTCTTAGTAACTAACTCAAGTGCCCTTCTGTGAAGAATTGCGCAATCCACCACCATTTTGTAGGTAGTTGCTTTTATCTGTTTATCATTTTTGAGGTTAGCTTCGTCGTCTCTTATTACCATATGCTCCAATTTATATCTAAGATCATTATACAATTATATTCTTTAAAATTTATTTGTGATTAATAATTGTATATTTATTTATTTATTTATTTATTGAAAAAAGGAAAATTTTTTGACCTCAACACTGCAAAAATTCCACAGCCATGCAGAACTTGTACGACATACTCCGTGTCGAACGCAACCAATATAGAAACAGCGACTGCGCAGGTAATGTACGCGTGGATCAAAATTGGAAAATAATATTTGTGTTGATCAATGAAATATTCCGCTTCAAATAAATATAATTCCGGTCTTGAGGCGTTTAATGGTGCCAATACATCCAATATTTTTGGCAAAATTGGCATGCAAAAGTATATTAACATCGTAGAATACATATAAGCTAAAAAAATATCAAGAATGTAAGGAATAATTTTTTTAAAAAGTTAAAAATCTCACTTGCGTAAAATTTAGTAAGTTTTCGGCCGTCTTCGGCATAATTTTCCAAAATTTCAAACTCTTTTTTTGTGAACTCGAGCTTCCAGTCGTCCTGAATCCTATCAAACAATTGACGCATCTGTACTTCACACAATAATCAAGCTCCATGTTGTTTTTTGTTTTCACTATTTTTTTAGAAATTTTTATTGAATGTTTAGTACCTTGTGGAAATTCATAAACCCATTGGCCACTTTAACAAAATTAACGGCGTCAAGGAGCAACATTGGCACGCACTCAATGATCAAATCTAAATTTCCCCAAACTTTTATAAGTTTTATTATCTAGAAATAAAAAATTGACTACTGTAATAAAATAAATAAATTTATTACTGCACAAAAATTTATTTATTGATGTAATACCTTGGGAATAATAATACTGGCGCTCAAAAAATAAATAATACTGCGTACGAGTCGTCGCTGGGTCGAAGTTTGGTAAGGCCACTCGCCCAAACATGACAATAAATCTTTATTTAATCGACAATATGAACTTGCTAGGTAATCCATCATATGCAACAGTCTTCCTTTGTTGGATCATAATAAAACGTTCGCAGACGCTTGCGTACAGTAATAATAAAATATTCCATTGGAACTATATCTCTGACCAAATGTTCAAAAGGAATATCAATGACCAGAACTTCAATGTGGCTAAATGAATCTGAATTTTTAATGTGGTTTTGTGATACCACGAAAATACATGCGATATTGCGTGTCTTTAAAGATTTCTTAGCTTGGAAAACATTTTAGATTTTACATCCGTGATAAATTTAATGTAAGGACAAATGTGTTGTAAGAAATTTAATTCAAAATAGTGTATTTTATTTTCTTAGGAAAATTTTAGTGTTTAATGTGAGAGATTTCACAAATTCAAAAGCAGTTTTTTTGAAAATTTTTATAAAAACATTTTTTTTTTGAAAATAAATTATCTGTGATGTTTCAAAAAAAAAAAATTTCTCGGTGAATTTATTTATACAATAGTTGTAAGGGAACATTTCAAAAAGTGTTGTTGGATGGATTTGTGATACAATTTTTTGAAAAGGTTTAAAAATAATAACAGTACAATTTTGCAAAAATTCATTTTATTTATTTATTTTTTGATGGAATAATCAAAAATACTTTCATTGTCGATGATGCAATTTTTTTTTTAAAGTACTATAGCTAAGTCTTAATTGTTAAAACTACATATTTAACTAATGTTGAGGGTAAAAATAAATTTTTTTTTTTCATCAAAGACCATGAAAAAATTTTGAGGAAAATTTATTGAAGTTTCTGAAACTGCCCTAAAATTTTCTAAACAACTATTTGTTTCTAAAATATCCACAGATACGGATAAAGGAAAATTTAAAACGTCAAATTGAAGATGGATAAACAGGCTACAAAAATCCTTTAATTGAAAAATCTTAAAACTTGAATTTTGGAACAGCGGAAAAGCTCTTCATCGACATTGTATAAATTTTATGGCTGTTATTTCCGAAGTATATTGTCCTCTTGTTATAATTGCTAACAATTTTTGGGATTGTACCATTTTCCAGAATAGCTGTTTGAAAATTATTATTTATTATGATCAAATTAATTGATCAAGGACCATGAAGAAGTCCATTTTGGTGGACTCTATGGCAAATGTTAAAGTAAGTATATTACTCTAATTATTATTACTGTTCAATACAATTAAGAGTTATATATTTTAATAACTATTATAAAACAATGTACTTATTGGTATATGATCACAGGGACCAAAAGCTCCATGATCAATTTTAATAAATGAATAAATAAGTCATATATCATATTGTATTGTCTGCTAACAAAGTCATTAAACATCAAATTAATTGCTAGTGTTTGGAGCGCAAAAAGAATCACATTTATTAAATTGCTGTTTTATGGCGGTAAATTGCTCTTGCTAGGTGAAAAAGAATTTTTGAGTGGTTCTTGCGATTAAATGTGAATTTATAAGTAACATAAAGCTTCTACAAAGTAACAAAATTTTAATCCTATTTAATTTTTGAAGAGAAATTGGAAAAATTGAAATTGTTAAATTTATAGAAAAAAAATTACTTAATAATTTACAGAAATTGAAAAAGTATGATAAAAAGTTTTCGATTCATTTTAATTATTTTAGAAAAAATTTCCACAGAAACAAATCGCGATTCCATGCAAAAATTCATGAACCACTGAAAAGTGAAAAAAACGTCTAGTATAATTTATAAAAATTAAAATAAAAATGAATTAATGAAAAAAACATTAAATATTTTTAACACAATTATGTTTAAATGTTTTTGAAAAAAATAAAAATTAAAGCGACACATAACCGAAGTATCCTAAAGCTATTTTGAACATTATCAATCATCACAATATTTCTATTTTATTTCTAGCAACTTGCGACAATATGAGTCGCTCTTGTGACTTATCAACTATAGAAATTATATATGACATTGCTTTTTACCATCTGAAGTATTGTTATCAACCATTGTTGGAGTTACCAATCCTCGTAGGTAACACGAACCACTCTTTACCTCAACCGTTCCTTTGTTACCAACACTTTATTGATCGCGAGGGTGAGTAAGTAATCAATGAAATTTAAACTACAAACAACTAATAGAATTCAACACTTCTTCAATTCAATTTTTTGTAATAAATTTATACTTACTTGTTATTGTGTAAAATAAATCATCCATTTGAATTATTGTTATGATTTTTCAAATTTTGGCTCAGAGAGCTTTCAAAAAAATAAAAAAAATTCAATATCACTTGTTTGAAGTTTGCTGTCTAATTTTGAATTATTAAGTACTTATTAAGAGTAAAAATTACACTATAAATGTTTTATTTTATTGAATTTTTAAAAACTGGCATGAATTTTTAAAAATTTCAAGAAATTTAACTAAATATTTATTAATTCAAAGAAATTGCAGAAATTAAAACAAACTCAAGTAAATTTTAATTAATTGAAGTGAAATTTCACAAATTTACGTTTAAAAAATGAATAGCTTGAAAATTTTGAAATTATTATAATTTTAATCGTAATAATAATTAATTTTCATTCAGAAAAATTTATAATTATCACTTTTGAAATTTTAAACTTCGAAAAACTTAAAAAATTTTGACACCACTGAAGATAAGGAAAAAATAATTCAATTAAAATTGTAATTAAAAAAAAAAAGACATAAGATCTTATAATAATAAGAATTATCTTATTATCTAATAAAAAAAAAAACTTACCGAGAAAATCTAAAAACACACTGATGCAAAACGAAAATCATGAGATGTTTCACCTCCGTAAGTCAATGTCAAACTAACTATTGATTCAGCATTTACAATTACTTCTAAGAGAAAACTATACTGAGTTATACCATTTGTCTACAGTGTACTAACTTCTATTCTTCGATACCATAAGCTAGCCGATGATGTGACATGACTATCACCTTCGCTGAAGAGGGGAAAATCGAAACTTTCCTTTTGCACGCCTTTCTCCTGGGCTCTAGCCAATAGGACACCACGGTGAAGCAGGTGAAGTTGAAGTTAAATTTAGACTCCCCGTAAGCTTTTTGCACTTGCCCCTCATGTCAACCTTCTGCAGAATCAGCAAAATTCTCCCTTAATATTTTTAAAATGAAGAAAAAAGTTAATTAATGCAAGCTGCAGTTTTTTTTTTGTGTGAAAGAAATTCAGCGTAATACTTTTCATCTGTCAAACACAAAATTATCTGGAGATCCTGTTACAATCCGCTCTTTGATTCGAAACAGCTCTCACACAAAGCTAAAGGGCCGAAACACTGATTCGTTGATTGGTTCACCGGATTCGATTTGTTACAAATTTTCCAGACGTTCTTTCGATAACTCGAGCTTTGCTTTTTTATTTCTGTTTCAGTTTCTTTGTTCTACTCCGTAAAATCACGACGTGCTCAATTTTTTTTTTTTTTAATTAAAGCTTTTATCATTTGAAATGAAGATAGCTGGTGAATGAGAAAAATTAAATACTGATAATGTGAATTTTAATTGAAATTTTTATTCAGATAAAAAATGTAAATAGTGATACAGAGTAACATACGGAGGAGTCGCAGGTTATCGGAAATTTCATGAGTTAAGTTATCAAATAAATTATATTTAAATTAAGTGTAAGAAAAAGTATTCTGAATTTTTCGGAGAAATTAGAAGAGGACTTTTTTGATTGAATATTTATAATACTGATGAACTTAAAAAAATGATGAATTAAAAAAAAAAGTAACTGATTAAATGTCATGTTATTATCTCCAGTCTATATACAATAAACATAAATGTCACATAAATTGAACGTAAACAAAAATGCCAAACGCTAAGCCTGTCAGGAGCATTACAATCGATAAAAGAGCGGCAAAGCAGATGCTATGTTTTTTTTTTGTCGATCGCTGAGTTAACTGAAAATCTTTTCGCATCTGAAATTAATTTTCGGTAATTTATTTTTTGTATTTTAATAAAAATTAGAAAGTATTTTGGTCTAGAAATAGAAAACATTGAATTTTTGGATCTTTTATACTTAACTAATAAAATAATTTGTTATTTTGATCAAATTTTCCAAAAGAAAAATTTTTTTCTACTTATTTCTGGTTTGGATGATTTCAGCATCTTAACTTATCAAGAATTTAATTATTTTTCAAATTTTAGGTAACTAAAAAAATTAAAATCATGTCAATGAAGGCGCGTCCTTTTTTTTTTTTAAATACCAAACTTCAAATCTTCAAAAATAAAGTATATGAATTTTTTATGAAGAAGAAAGCAAATTTTTGACAATTATTATGTTTGCAACCTCTTCCTATTTGAATACTGTATGAACTATTGTTTCTCTGTATAAATTTATATTAACTTTAAATATCGTTCAGATTATGTACCTTTATGTATTACATTATTTTTCACTCTTTTTGCTGAACATTAAAATTATTTCTTTTATGTTCTAAATATACATTATAATACTTATGTGATCGAATGAATCTGTTTCATTTTTTGTACTTGTCATTAGGCTTAATGCCTTGGCATATAGATTAAATAAATAATAACTTTTTGAGTTTGTAATATTTTGAATTTTACGGCTTGAATATTTTTTTTAAATATCAATAAATATTTTACAAAAAATTTGTACTAAAAATATTATTAATTTTTTTCGTATTGCACTAAAATCTGTGCTTCTAGACCAAAAAACCTCCTAACAAACTAAAAAAAATAAAAATCATACCGTTATTTCCAAAATTTGTGTTTTTTTGACGAGCTCTTCTAGCCTTTGTCCTCTGTCAATTAATTTTTGAACGGATTCGATCAGTACTTTTCTCACTTGAGCAAGCTCGTCTTTGACTACCGGCAAAGACGTTAGATTCTGACAATTTTTGGTTTCCTAAAATATTTAAAAATATAAACACACCTTCTATGGAGAATATTTTAAAAAATTCAAGATTTCTCTATAAGAATTACAATAATTTCCTTGAGCGGCTCAGAAAATTTGGCTTTTGACTTTTGAAATTCTTGAGAAAAGTCCGCCAAAATGGATAGCTCGCGATAGACACTTCTAACTTTTTCCAAGAGTTCTTGAGGGTTGAAATCGATATTAACTGACGTGGGCGTCAAGCACGTATAGTACAACTCCCCGGTCAGGATATGTGCCACGAATCTGTTCGATAAAGGCATTAAGATAAGAAGATAAATGAAAAAAAAAAAAAATAGTTACCTATCGCACGGAATGCTAATTTTATCATCTTCAGAATTCGCTGAGTCCCGAATAGTATTAAGAACAATGTCTCTATAATAAGGATTATCCTCAGGAGGATAAGAAGCCACCACTATATACTCTCGTCTTTCTCTGTGAATCACCGAAGCATACAGAATGTAATCCATCTCACAATCAGTAATAATAATTATCTATTTTTTATAATTAAAATTAAAATACAAGTAACACCAAAATTAAGCGACTTTAATGAATTATAATTGAAATTATACGACGCGTTGTCGGTGAATGAGCACCAAAGTTGACAAGTTGAGTTAAAATGGACTTGGTATTTTATTATCATCATAATTAAACCCGCAAATAGTGACCAAAGGGCACTGATTGAATTATCGATCGAATGTATGAAAAAAAAAAAAAAAAAAAAAATAAAATAAAAAAAAAAAAGATTGAATAAAAATGTTTTAAAATAATTAATGACGAGGTTGATAAATTTTGTGAGTGATAACTTTTGAATGGAGGATGAGCCATTGCTCTTTACAACGAATACAAATGGGACATACATATGATATGTGGGAATATATGTTATGTAGAACAAGAAAGAGTGAATAAATGTAAAGTGAAAGTGAGAGCGGCAGACTGGTAGTCCAAGAAGGGGCATCACATTCGACAGTCTCACTTTGTAACAATATTTTTCGACGCCGCGAGACCGGCAGTGTTTTTGTTATAAAAAGGTTATTTCTATTCGGTGAGTAAATTTCGTTTTATATAAATATTTTTCCTTGTGGTTTTATTGCAGCGTCAAATAATAAGAATAGAAAAATAACAGGAATATATTTGTCTTCTCTAATGGAAGTGATATATTGGTGAATTTTTTAGATTTTTAAAATGCCACATCAATATAAATTGACGTACTTTAACGTAATGGGGCTCGGTGAACCTATAAGGTTTCTTTTGAGCTATGGAGGTCATCAATTTCAAGACTTCCGGGTCGATCGTCTGAATGAATGGCCAAAAATGAAACCAGGTACTTGTAACTTAATTGATTCATTTGTTTCATTCATCAGTTTTTAACTTAATTTTGAAGGATTTTTAACCTATTTCAGACACACCGTTCGGGCAATTACCTATTCTAGAAATTGATGGTAAGCCTTACTGTCAATCAGTGCCTATTTGCCGCTATTTGGCTAAACAGATGGATTTAATTGGTGAAACAGACTTGGATGCTCTGCAAATTGATTCGATTGTCGAGGCGCTATACGAATTGAGAAAACGTGAGGATTATTTTGTGAGGTATTAGAGCAGCCTAAAAGAATCTTTAATTTGTTTCTATGTAATTACAGACGTTGCGTTGTTCTATCGAGAATCTAATCCTGAGATAAAAGCTACGAGGAAAGAAGAAGTATTGACCAAAACTTTGCCGTTTTATTTGAACAAATTGGAAAGTTGCGCCGATAATGGTTACTTTGTAAACGGAAAGGTAAAAAATTTTATTAAGGGTACAATGTCGAATTTCTATTTAATTATTACAATACAGTTTTTTGATAAAGTTATTTTATATAATTTTATTCAGAATTCGTATCTGTGAAATTTATTGGGTTTCTTTTGCAGTTGAGCTACGCAGATATATTTTTCGCTGCGATTCATGACTCTCTTGTAAATGCTTGTGGAGTAGAAATAACCAAGGAGCATCCGAACTTGAAGAAAATTCGTGAAAACGTCTTGTATATTCCGAAAATTAAGGAATGGGTTGACAAGCGCCCTCAGTTAGAGTTCTAAAACACTTTTTTATGCAATATTGCAATTTTTGAACCATTATAATAAAAATATCTTTAAAAAAGTCATTTTTTTCATTAATGAAATGTAAGCATTATCAAAATAATTTTGAACCTCTATAAATTCTGTAAAAATGGTGACAAAATTAGAAATGAATGTACTTTTTCCGAGAGAATTTCATCAGATTCAACGTACCGTTTTCAAAAATGATGGGCTATTTTTATTCGCGTTTAATTATTCTGAAAAAAATGGTAAGTAATGGGAGTTTTCGGCATAAAATCTTCTAAAAACTATATCTTGTCCCTAATTCTAAACAAATCGACCAATTCGCAAACTAATTCAAGGAAATGATTCTAAAAATAAGTGTACTAAGTTTTATCAAGATCGGTTGAAAAATGCAGAAACTGCTCATCGATGAACAGGAGACACCGTATACAAAACCTTAAACAACAGAACTTATAAATCTTTATACTTTGAGGTGTCTTAGATTTCAAAAATTAAAGTTACAAAATATAAGGTAAAAAATACAGTTAATGACACTGACCTAATTAATTGAGACTTGCAATTTTATTCTAATAAAAAATATGAAATGTTCTCAAAAAACCAACTATCAGAAAAATTTCTAATTTAAAAATTACATTAATTAATTTATTAGAGTCGATTTGTTTTATCAGTCAAAAAAGGACATTATTATAGTACAAATAATAGTCCAAAAAAATACCCTCAACTTTCCAGATTTCAAATAAAATAATGCTCCCACCAAAACTCTCCCACTCCTCTTTCCATCCTATAAAATACCCAGCAGTTACAAACTACGTAGTATCTCTCTCCGCAATCCCAAACAAAGGAAACAGCAGACGATCGCTTAACAGACTTAAGGTAGCTCCCTACCTAACCAATCCCAAAAGTTGATTCCTGGCGCCGCCTACCGTCCCCCCACATAACTAAAATAAAAAAGGGTGGCGCACTTACGTACGAAGAAACCTATCGCCCACTGGCGGCGGAAATTGACATTTGGTGACCTCGGAGCACGGATCTTGTGGTATAGCTGCGTATGAACGATGCGCACTAGGAGTATACATCCGTATGCGTGTGCTGGATTGTCCGTCAGTGCTCGCGGCGCGTAGCAGAACAGACATCTTGTAGTAGAATTTAGCGGCGTGGTCGACCGTGGGTGTCGAGCGGTGCGTCGTGGTGGTTACGGTGGTGTCGTGCGTGTGAGCACCGTGTGCCCGTCGTACGTACCCGCTTATATTTTACATTACTCCAGTTAATAATTCTATCATAATTGCTGTCGTTATTGTTTACAATAATAACAATAATTGTAAAGCTTGTTTGGCTTTTAAAGCCCCCCCCCCCACTCACCAATTGAGGCTTGCTCTACACATTGCATTGTAAGCCACCTAAAAGTGAACTCCATTTGTATATATAGATATATACATACATTTATAATATACAATATTTATATGTATGTATATATATATATATATATATATATATATATATATATATATATATATATATATAGGCATACAAGTCAGCGCAATCGTCTGAGCAGTTGTATTTTGTGAGCTAAACCGTGCGGTGTGATAATCAACCGTCGCACACATATACACACACTACATACACACACACACACACACACACACACACATTTATTCCTAGCACATTACACTACATTAAAGAAACTAAATTGCCCTGTGAAAAAAAACTAAATCTATCATTACTCTTTTAATAAAAAATACTTGCTCACACATATTTATTTATATTTATGCTAATAATTATACGTAGATATGTGGATGAACAAAAACAAACCCTAACTACTAAAATCATTATTTTAAATTAAAAAAGTAGGAAAATCCGTATTAGTTACGCCCGCCGCAGTGGGTCAAGCTGCGGTCACTTGTCGACTTTATTTCCTCCGACTAAAATAAAAAAGTACCAGCTAAATAAACACCTATAATTTTATCGATAATATATTAAATAACAATAAAAATAACTGTTTGTGTGGCTTGCTCGCGTGTGTGTCAAGGAAAATATCCTCCAGAAGCTTTTGAGGAAAAGCGGAGCACGAAAAACAGCAGCCATCTGCGGTAGGAGGAGTTTAGTTGCCCGGAGGAGTAAAAAATAATTAATTGGCTATTAATAAATAATTTTCTGCTGTTTTAAATACTGTAGATAATAAAATCAACTAAAAAGTGGAGAAAAGTCTAATTTTTGATAAAAAAAAAAAAAAGTAGATGTATGGTCATCACAAACGGTAGTATCTGGCGCAGCTCTTAGCTGCCACCATCCACCATTCAGATAGTTGCTGTCGACTGCCGTGTGTACGTTACTCAAAGCATAACGTGACGGATTATCTATACAGGAAAGATCCTCCCTTTCCCTTCCCTAAGTCCCTCAAGCCGATAACCCCCCTGTCCTGTGTTGAGTTTGTGGAAAACTCAAGAGCCCAAAGTGTAATTTGGTTTTTTGTGAATAAATAGAGTTTTATTGCGTTAGTATCCGGCCAGACGCAGCAACGTCAACTGGTAGCTGGTAAACTAAACAATTGGGAGTAACATACGTCGGGTGAATCAGTGACAGCAGTGACAGTAGTGAGATAAGGTGTGCGGCTGGTTGTCAGCCGCTTAAAATTAAAACTATAAAGCCGGGAAATATCATCCAGCATGACCTCCAATAATTCACCGAAGTTGTCCACCACCGAGCGTGTAATAAAAAGTAAGAAAGATTTTTTTTAAGTACTTAAATAAAATCATTTTTTTTAGTTAAGTTTGCGTGCTAATGTTGTTAAATGTGAACAACTCTGGCTGATAATTTATCCAGCCTCGGTCGGTACAACAGGACGCTCGACTACATGCCCTGAAATATTTACGTACATGGCAGATGCTTTGCTTTGCTATTGCTATAGGCACCGAGGGTAGTACAAGGGTGCAGAATTGAGAAAAATAGGAGGAAGGGGGTAGAACGGTCTGGTGGAGTGAACGCTGATGGTATAGTAAATACAAATACAAGTTCTATCCCGGCTAGGCGATTCTATCGTTGATGAGAAAGAGAGAAAACGAGAGCGAGTGTACATGAAAACAAGGCCGACCGGCGTCAAGCCGAGATTGATTTTCTCCGCGGGGTCGCGGCGCCATTGCTATCGACCACCAACCGGCCCTCGAGTCACGCTTTTCCGTTTTCCGAGACCGTCGTCTTGCACTAGCTTCTCTTTTATACAATACATTATATTACAGTTTATTTTATTATTTTTTACTCTTTTTTTTTTTTTGGTTATTAGGTGGGGGTGGTTGTTTTTATTTGCTTTTAGGGGTAAGGTTGATGGCTGATCAGTTTTTGAGATACTGCAAGGTTTTTTACGGGATTTAATTGAGTTATTTATTTACAAACGTCAATCGGGTGGGTTTTGAAGGACGGGTTCGGGTATATGCTTTTAAATTTCTTGTCGGGGTTGATTTTTTGTTGGAATAATGGAAATTTATTTTGTTTTGATGATTTATTGGTCAATTTAGAAGTTAAATTTTTTTGGGGTCAATTTTTTTTAACTTTGATTATTTTTACTGTTTTTTTGTATTGAGAAAATTTTAATGCTTTTATAAATTAATTTATTTAGAATCAGACTAAAAAATTTGTAAAATTTTGCCTTGTTTTTTTTTTTTATAAATTGTTAATTCACTAATTGAGTAAACAAAATTATCAAAAATATATAAAATAGAAATTCTATCCAAAAATATGAGAGCCAAAATTTTTTCCAACTTTTGAAAGCATAAAAGCTATCAAAATCTTTATTTTTTTCAACAGAATAAAAAAAATGTTAATTTTTCACCTAAATATGGCTAAAAATAGGGTGAACACTTGTAAATAATTACCAAAAAAAAAATATTAAAAATAAATATTTTTGTGAGGCAGAATAATAAAATTAAAAAATATTTAGTTGGTCAATTATGAGGTATTAAAGTTGTTATTTTGATTTTATTTATACACAATTAAGTAGCAGCTATTCAAAACATTTTAAAGTTTTACAGTATTAAGTAAAAACTGAAACGTTTTTTTTTTTTTAATTTTCTATGACAATTTTCAGTGTCATCACTAATTCAGTTCAACCTCTCATAAAATCAATGTTGATTATTTATATATAGATTTACATAGATACAGATGATTTATGCCAGTAATTAATCATTGAATTTAGTGAGGTATTACTTAACAAAACAACGGACTTGACACTTTTAATGACAAACAGTCGACGAAAATAGCTTGAGACAGTTGTATAGCAATAGTAATAATAGGATACTTCAAAATAAAAACAAGTATTATTATAATAATAATAATAATATAACAATACATAAAAAAGGGAATTTAGAAAAGTTTTATCTCGGTTGGAACTTAAACCGTCTAGTCGGCCGGATAAGTTAGAGCTAAACTCTTATATCTTAGTATAGACCTTAGAGGTTGAGAGGTATTCTATTCTATTCTAAGAAACGCCACGTGGGTGTAATATGATTTGTCCGTTACCGCAAATACGGATACCGACTTTATCCCATACCAAACAATTTATTTAAGAATTTAATGCATAAATTTACCTTAACGTTTAACGTCAGAATGCCCCACGGATAATACCTTCTGAAAAAACAAACTGGATTACAGAAAAACGTTAAATGAAGTTTGTGCCACGTTCCCTTTTCGATGAGTCTATTTTAGTTATTCTAAAAGGATAGATTCTCGAGTAATGACCCATTACGTGGGCAGTCAACGTAAACGTTTTTTTTATTTTATGTGTAAAAAATCTTCTAATTTTAGGGTGAGAAAAAAAATTTTTCTTACTACGCTGGTCGAAAGTACGGGGTTTCTGTTGCGATTTCACTGCAGAAAGCCTGACATTTATGCCGTGGTCGAGTCGCGCATGCGCTTTACGACGGGGAGCCGAAAAAATGTATTCATGCACTGACAACGAGACACGAGGCGGCAGAAAGTCCGAAAGTCGGTAGTCGCGCTCACTCTATTACTTATGTTTACAAGCCTAACCTTACTTGTGATTGTTATGAATGTATCTGTCTTGTTATCCCGAGAAAAAATGTTTCTATATA